CCCGCCCCTCCCAACACACAAGGGAAAAAAAAAACAAACCACATAATTTGAAATACGTCTTAAAAAAAACGAAAAAAAACAAAAAACAAAAAAACCCCCCAAAAAAAACAGGGAAGCTGCTCTTCAAAGGATGAAGAGTCCCCAACTTCCCATGTGACTGCCTCCTCCTAGTTCTGTTGGTTCCTCTAAGATCAGGCTGGAGATACCCAGAATAATCGAATTGACATCCCAGAGTCACTCTCGTTAGACATAACTACATCTTCTTCCCAGGTTGTCGATTTCACCCACCGTTTGCTATCAAGAGTGTGACGGAGTCACAGGCAAACGTCCCAGGACTGTTCAAGACAACAAAACAAAACAACACAACAACAAACCCGGGACTGCAAAGAGTCCGGGGAAAGGGATGCTCTGCTTTCAGGAGAGCAAGAAAGCCCGGCGCGACGTACCCAGGCCTGTGCCGGGAGGGAGAAAGTGAAGCCGGGAAGCAGCCACTCCCAGCCTCGCTGGAATGCAGTTGGAGGGGTGGGGTGGGGGGTGGAGGGGACGAGCCGGGAGCGCGCGGCTCCCAATCACGGGCGGCGGAGGAGGTGGAGGAGGAGGAGGGCTGCTCGAGGAAGTGCGGCGTGAAGTTGTGGAGCTGAGATTGCCCGCCGCCGGGGGACCCGAGAGCGCCCCTTCCCAGGCGGCCCCTTCCGGCGCCGCGCCTGCCCTCGCCTCGCCCCGCGCCCGCAGCCCGGTCCAGCCTGAGCCATGGGGCCGGAGCCGCAGTGAGCACCATGGAGCTGGCGGCCTGGTGCGGCTGGGGGCTCCTCCTCGCCCTCCTGCCCCCCGGAGCCGTGGGCACCCAAGGTGGGTCCGGCTTGGGGAGGGTGCGGGCCGCCGCGGCTGCGCCCACGGTTGGTCCGAGCCGCGGGGTCACCCGTGAGCTCTACAGCGGGGCGGCGCGGGGCGATGGGGCGATTCTGGCTGCCGGCGCCGCGGCCCGGAGGAGATCGGAGCAGCTGGGCATGGGTCGGTCCCCCCCCCGGAGGACCGCGCTGGAGGTCGGGACCGGCCCCCCTTTGGCTACCCCGGAGCTTCCCGGGCTCCGAGAGGCTCCGGGGACCTCCCGGGAAAGTTCTCTGAAACTGGCCCGAAACTTTTCCTCCGGAGGGCGTGTGTGGCGCTGTGCGTGCGTGTGCCTGTGTGTGTCCCCCCGCCCCTTCCGAGCCCCCTTGCGCCTTCTCGTAGCTCTTCCAGTTGGCAGCCTCCGCCTCCGGACTGGACTGGGCAAGATGCCTTCGGGGTCCCCTTTGCCCTGCCCCTCCCCCTCCCCACCTCCTCCGGCCCTTTGGGATTAGTAAATTACTCCAGTGTACAGCGGGGTCGCCTAGGAGGAGCCGGTGGGGAAAGTAACCGGGTCCTGTCGAGCAGGGAGCAGGGAGGACCGAGTGGCCGGTCCTCAGTTGAGGTGCCTCTTGGTGGTGTCTGGCGTTTTGGGGGGCGGGGAGGGGGAAGGGCAGGCATTTGTTTTGAACAAGTTTTTCTTTTTCCCTTCATTCTTCTTCTTCTTTTTCTTCTTTTTCTCCTCCTCGTCCTCTTTCTCCTCCTTTTTTTTTCTGTCCTGGAGATGGACCCCCCCCCCCCCCATCCCGGTGCTAGGCAAGCGCTCCACGACTGGGCTGCCCATCCCACAACTCTGTTTTGAACAACTTTCCTTAGAGTCAGCTTAGGTGCTCTGGAACTCTGGGAAGGCTGGGATCCTGGGAGGGTGGCCGTGTGTTTTTCGGCTTCTATATAGTAAAGTGGGAAGGCTTCCCGGGCGTTTGACGGGAGGACAGTGAAAAGTAAGGTCAGCCAGGGATAGACCAGAGAGCTGGGTTGCTTTCTTGCCTCTCTCTTCGTGTTGTGGACAGGAAGGTTGACCGGCCGTGTGTGTGTGTGTGTGTGTGTGTGTGTGTGTGTGTGTGTGTGTACTCATGCCTGTGTCCGTTTCTACCATAATCGTAAAAGCTGATACACACTCCGTGTGGGTCAGCCCAGCCAGGCACCCGTGGGTGGTGCTTTGCATGCATTCCTTCTTCAGTAGAACTGAACAGTAGAACAACTCCACAGTAGAAACATGAGCAGCCTTCTCATGGTCCCTGCAGGCAAACCTGGGCTCGAGAAAATCGTCGAGTAAAGTGATGGATCCCAGGCAGTGTGACCCGCAGCCATATACTTGAAATCATAATATGAATCGACCCGGAGCAGCGGGGACACTGCTTCCTGAATCCCTGGGCTGTAGGGAGGACACAGAAAGCAGGGTCTGGGAGCAGTTGATGTTCTCCAGAGGCCAGGGAGCCTGGAGGCTGGTAGGGTATCACCATCTTTGTGCCCCCTCCCTCAGGGTTCCCATCGGTACACTGCTGTACTTTCTGTGGGGCACCCCTCTACGCCTGAGGTGTTTATGGTGGTTGTGTGCCTGGCTTTGTGTAGCCACACAGCAATCTCTCCGCCGACTTGGGGACCCAGGATGAACCCTGCCCTCTCTGGGAACTCCCTCAAGGTACTGGGTTATACTGCTGCTGTAAACAGCGGGAGATGCCCCTTGTCCTGCTGGGGATGGAGGCTCCTTTCAGTTTCTCAGGAGGCAGCCTTCTGACTTGGTGTTGACAGAAGTGAGGTCAGGCCCTTCTCAGAGTCTCAGGGGCCTTGTGCTGGAGAGCTGGAATCTGAAGGGTCTGCTCTCCAGATGGGGAGTGGAGGGCCGAGGCCAGTCTGCATCTCTCCCAAGGCACTGCCGGACTGGTTAAAAAGGCAGCGCACCATCCGGCTGCCTCTAGCCCCTGATTATACCCCAGAAGCGGTCTGGGGCAGTTGTGTGGGGGAAAGGAGATGGGGCGAGCCCAGAGAGTGAAGATGTTGCCGGGATCCTCAGTGCGCGGCGTTTCCCGAAGCGCGGTGGACACTGGTCTTCACCCTTGCAGTGCTCATCATGTTTCAGTTCTAGTATGATTCTCTCCAAACCCTTCCGGCTTTTTCGCTCTACGGGGTTTGAATAGATGCCTCCTGCAGAGGGCCTGGACTCAGTCCCCATTCCCCACCTAGTGGCTCACAACCATCCATAACTCCACTTCTAAGAGATCTGATGCCTAATTGTGACCTCCACGGGCACCAGGCATGCGGGTCGTGCACACGTAGGGCAGACAGAGTACTCATACACATTAAATAAACTAAATCTTAACAAGGAAAAGAAAAATATATATGTATATCGCACTTCAAAGTCAAATGGAAAGACTTTCTCTTTTCCGCTGATCTGTAACTACCGGGGTCTGGCTATGTGCTGCTCTCTCTCACCTTTTAAAAACTTGTGTGTGCTTCCTACATGGCGGATCCTTTTCCACAGGTGGCTTTGTTCCCTCCCCTCTGTCCTGTGAAGCAGGTGTACAGATGAGAAAAAAAACAAAACAAAACAAAAACAACTGAACCTCAGAGAAATGAAGAGACTTCCCCGGGGTTGGTTGAGAGGTGACCAGAGGTTTAGTCATCAGAAGAACAGCCTTGGGGCAGCCGGGCAGTCGGGCACACAGAGAAGAGCTACTTTGTTACTCAGTATGGCCTTCCTAACCCCTCTCTCAGTCTTGAGAAGGTGCCCCGAGGTGGGGGCCTGACATCCCTGCCAGCCCATGCTAGCCTTTGTATTGGGCCCTTGGCAGTGCCGGGGATGGAGGGCAGGAAGGGGCAGAGACCACTAGAATACACAGGCCCAAAGGGGAAGGAAATAAGAGGGTCTAGTGGAGCCTGGGCTGGGAGGCAGAGGGAAGCCGTATTGCCACTTGAGTGCTGGAATGATCAGGAAAGAGAATCTCTCTGTGTCCCTAAGGAGTGGTGAGCTCTCCTGATCCCCTGGAGTGACGGGGCTGTTATTTGCTGGGCCACCAGGCAGGCAGAGGATTTGCAGGGGACCTCGATCCCCAGCAGTGACTCCTGGAAGCTGGTGTTTGGGTTGCTGCAGGTCTGTTTACAAAGCTTCCTATGTTTACAGAGTGGATCGCTCTTCCTCCTCTCCTTTAACTGGCAGGGCCCTGGGGAAGGGAGTAAAGAGTTGTTACCATTAAGTTGAGGTCAGTAAATATTCACTGAGGGGCCAAGTAAGTCACAGCCACTGTTGGGCCTCAAGATGAGTCTCTTCCGCCCTAGAGGTCTGTTCCCTGTGGCCCAAGGGTAGCTGAGCTAGAGTTCCAGTGGAAAGACCCTGAGCATTAACTTTGCTGTGACATCAGCTTCATAGAGCAGGTGTGTGTGTGGCAAGGGAGTCCTGGTATCATTTGACTGAGTTCTGGCCTCTGGCCTGGTTGGGGAGCTCCGGGAATGTAGGTAGTTTCCTGGCAGGGTTTATGAAGACCAAAGGAAATGTTGGCTTTCACACTGTGACCCAGGTAGCAGCGCAGGGCCCCAGCAGACAGGAGGCCCTGGGCTCCTGTCCTCCACACTGCAAATGAAGACACGAAAGAACACAGCCGGGGGATGGGTGGGTATGTGGCTAAACCTTGATGACCAGTGTTCAGCAGGAGGGACCCAAAGCAGAGCGGTGGATACTTGTCCCTCTCAGTCTGGAGGCTCTTGACTAGATGTCATTCATTCATTCCTCATTCATTCACTGCATCCGGTAGATACTTGCCCGGCACTCACAGTCTCAGCCCTGGCCTTGTTCTGAGATGGTCCTGCCTCACACTGCTTTTGTCTCTGAGAGTCAGAAGACAAGGCTTCTGAGAGGACACCTGTGGAGGCAAAGGGCATCCACGTGTAGAATTTGACTCACCATGAAATCCATGGGACAGGATGGTTGTGGGGACCATGGTCAGGGTTGGTGGGGAGAGCCTGGTCAATAGAGGGGAGCGAGAGGGAGGCAGAGACTTGGAAGGGGTCCAAAGGCTTTCTTGGCCTTATGTCAGCAGTGTCTCTGTGTGTGTGTGTGTGTGTATGTGTGTGTGTGGTCAGCTGGAAGCTTCTAGCTCCCCTGGAGGAGGTCTCAGGGTACCAATTTTCCCACCTGTCTGCAAACACTTTAAGACTCTTACTCAAACCGACCACAAATCAGATAAACAAACTGGCTAGTGGGGTGTGGCTGCCAGTCGATCTGACCGCCTGCCTAGCCTGGCTGCCCTGCCCTTCCTGAGCCTGTGTGTTGATTGGTCACGTTGGAGAATTAGCGTGTTTTTATGTTTGTGTGTTTGTGTCTCTCTGTGTGTGTGGTGAGGTTTAATGGAAGGAACAGGGGATCTGAGGCAGACCTGGATTCAGATCGTGCCTCTGTTGCTGTGTTGTTTTGGTTGGTTTATTGGTTGGTTTTACCATGCTGGAATTGGAACTCAGGGCCTTGTGCGAGCTCTGCGAATGATTTGCCGCTGAACCTGTCTTATGACCTTGGAAGGATCAGTTTCCTTTGTAAAATAGGGGCAGTGGCCTCGGTCTCTGAAGTATACAGTAGGTACCCATCTCGGTTACCATGGCAACTGGTATTGTTTTCCTTTTGCTTGGTTGCTGCAGCTGGTGTCCCTACCCCTTGGAGATGAGGCAGCAGAGGGCTGCAGGGGGTAAACTGCCACAGGGGGCGGGCCCCTGCTACAGCTCTGCCATCCCTGTCCCCAGCTAGGCTGGACCTGGGATCTGGGCCTGGAGACAGCTGTGCATATAAGCAGCTGAAGCAGCCATGCTGGGGGAGGTCCTGGCAGCAGGGCGTTATTTTGGGCCTGGCTGCCACCCCTAGCTCCTGTTTCTCTTGGGAGCTTTCGGGGAGGGGGGGGGAAGAAAAGGGAGGGGGAGGTAGGGTGCACGTGGGTGCGGTATAGGGTGGGTAGGCCTGCTTCTCTCCCCTCTGTCCAGGAGAGGAGCCTTTGAGTTCTATTTCTGTTCCTTCCCCTCCTCCCTCCTTGCTTCCTTCCCTATCTGCCTAGAGGGGTGAGAAGAGACCTCTGTGGATGTTTACGAGATGGCTATCAGCTTGAGGCCATGGAAGGCAGCCTGGGAGCCTCGGAGCCTGCCCCCGAGCCCTCCAAGCCCTCTGCCTCTGATCCAAAGGCTGGAAGATAACTAGGGTTTGGCTTTGGGCTCCATGTAGCCGGGACAGCAGGGCTCCTGAAGTCTGATCGCAAAGCTGGGCCTTGCACTCTCTTGAATCTGCACACAGCCACTGGAAGGCAGGGCAGGGAATCTCTGCCGCGGAGGCACCCGTCAGTAGGCCTGTCTATGTGAAGACAGCCTCCGCCCGCCTTTCCCCCAACCTCCTGGGCAAGCCTCACCAGGTGATTCATCTTCTCACCAGGGCAGAAAAACAAGTTCAGCTGGCCGCATTTAATCTCTTCCCTGCTGGCAGGCTTGGTGCCAGTGGCTACCTGGAGCCCCCCCTGGCTGCGGTACAGCTTCTCCTGTTTGGCGACTTAGATGGGAATGTCTGGTCTCTAGCCACCTGCCCGAGGCTCAGGTGGGCTAGGGACGGCAATGTGTCTTGGGGGACCCCTTCGGCTGATAGTTGGCACCTGGCAGCTGGCGTAGCGCCCTCGTGGCAGGAGTTTGGTGGCATGGCTTCTGCCAGCTGCTTCTGGAGTGTTGCCCCAGGAGGTGGCAAGGGTGAGAGAGCCGGTGTAGGAACCTGTGGAGCGCGCCTCACTCTGGTCAGGATCTGCAGCCAGGCCCTCTAGCTGGTGTCCTAGGCTTTTTAAAACTTTCTCCCCTGTGTGGATGGGTTCCAGGGAGCTCTGCAGTGGTGACCAGGCCCCTGGCTACTCCTGCATCTCTGCAACGACTCCAGGCAAACCTCCTTGCCCATGTTTTTGGGTGGCGCTGTGGGGGCAGCTGTCCTGAGCAGGGCAGTTGACGTGTGGGTGTGTTGGAATGGCAGAAGGAGAATGCCCTGAGTTTGTTTGCCTGGGAGACAGATGGGGGGTATCCAGAGGGGTCTGATTCATCATCGCCTCTCTTTGGGGACTTTTCACCCTCCCTTCGGGGACAAAGGGAGGCTTTCTTTGGCTGCTGAACCCCTGCCTGGGTGGTAAGCCCTGAAGGGCTGACACACTGGGGCCCCTCTGGATGTTCAAGGTGGCCCAGCTACAGGGGGCCCCTCCTCAGATTGCTGACTTTTTCCCAAACATGAGAGCATTCTTCTCCTCTGGACCCCATGAATGCAGAGGGGTGGGAGGAAAGGCTGTCAGCCATGCTTTCTCCCGGTCTGGGGTGACAGGACTCCGGGGGAGTGAGGGCGGAGGAGGTGACTAAATTGGATCAGGTCACTGGCAGTGCCCTGACCCACATCCCCCTTCCACCAGTGTGCACTGGCACAGACATGAAGCTGCGGCTCCCTGCCAGTCCTGAGACCCACCTGGACATGCTCCGTCACCTCTACCAGGGCTGTCAGGTGGTACAGGGCAACTTAGAGCTCACCTACCTGCCTGCCAACGCCAGCCTCTCCTTCCTGCAGGTGAGACCTGGTCCTGCCGAGCCACCCCCCACCCCATTAGTGGCGTATGAGGAGAGGGGTACCCCTTCCCTCTCTCTTCTCTTGTGGCTCCTCAACTGGGAATGCCTTCCTGCCTACTTAAAAACCAGCCGACACTGCAGTGGCTGGCCATAGCCATGGTCCGGCCATCTCCGTCATTATTCCCTTAGGGGTATAATTTCCAGGTCCGGCCCTTAACATCCCCAGGCCTCAGTTTCTCTATCTGTATAGTGTACTAGTAGATCTCCTGGCCCACCATTGTGAAGAATGCTGGAGAAAATGTGTGAGGGAGAGGGACGGGTCCAGCCCACTGGGTTGTATCCACAGACCCTGTTGTGGGGCTGCAGGGAACAGACGTGGTCTGTTAAATCACAGATGCCATCTTGCACCCTACCTTTTGGAGATGTGTAGAGATTGGGGCCCTGGCTCTCAGCCGCCAAAATGCTCCTGTACTCTTATCAGACAGCCAAGAATCTGGTGAGGCCTGGTGAAGAGTAGCCTAGGGCTCCATCTGGGCCATGAGGGGGACGAGACTGCAAGGGGGAACCTTGCAGGACATAGCCCTAACCCTGAGTTACCCTCGGGCCTTGTGAGGTGCAGGAGCATTTCCAGGCCAGACGCGCCTCACTGTCCATCCCCGGCCCTTCCCGCCAGGACATCCAGGAAGTCCAGGGATACATGCTCATCGCTCATAACCAGGTGAGGCACGTCCCACTGCGGAGGCTTCGCATCGTGAGAGGGACCCAGCTTTTTGAGGACAAGTACGCCCTGGCTGTGCTGGACAACCGAGATCCTTTGGACAATGTCACCACCGCCCCAGGCAGGACCCCAGAAGGGCTTCGGGAGCTGCAGCTTCGGAGCCTCACAGGTGCCTTTGCCGCCATTGCAAACGCCTCCTGGTTCTTGGTTGCCAACTAGCCATTCTGGCCGTGAGGATTAGAAGTATGGGTCCCGTTGCCAACCCCGTGAAGATTAGGAAAAGAAGGCAGTGCGGTGGCTCAGTGGCAGGGTGCTTGCTTGGCGTGTGTAAGGCCCCAGGTGTGGGGTCCCCTCTTTTTCAGGAAGTGGTAGCACACAGCAGATCCTCAGTTTCATCATTAGAGATCAAGCTGGGGTCCCCCCCCCCCCCCATCTTGGCCATGTCCAAGCGTGCAGTGAGCCACCTGAGCAACTGCCTGTGGCAGCCCCGAGCTGACAGTGTGCCAACTAGGGCGCCGAGCACTTCCCAAACATCCCATTTCAGTCATGCTACAGTCCTGTGAACCCTGCCGCTAACCCTTCACATGTTTTCTTTTTGCCATGTTTATTTTGTTTTTCTGGGTGGTTTTGTTTTGAGACATAATCTCACTACATAGCCTGGGCTGACCTTGGTCCCGAAGCAATCCCCCTGCCTCAGCTCTCTAGGGCTGGGATCACAGGCGCGCCACCCCCAGCCTTCTTCAGTGTTTTGTTCTCCCTCTGGTACTACAAAGGACCAGTGACCTGTTCAAGGTTGCACGGCCGCTCGCTGGTGAAGTGGGATTTCAGACTTCAGGGGTGTTTCCATTGTTCTTGTGATGGGGTGACCCTGAGGTCAGGCGCATGCGTAATGCTTGCTCTGCCACTGAGCTACTACTCGCCTGCCTCAGAGCCCGTCTCTAGGCCCCCATACCATGTGCACAGGGTGAGGCGAAAGGTAGGCAGGATCCGAGTGGACAGCCCCACTCTGCCGCCCCCCCCCCACACACACCCTCTTTCTGGTCCTCCCTTATTCCTGTGTGCGGCTGGCGCTGACAGGGAAGGCAGGAGCCCCCAGGGGAGGACAGGAGGAGGCTGACTGTTTGCCTTCCTCACAGAGATCCTGAAGGGAGGAGTTTTGATCCGGGGGAACCCTCAGCTCTGCTACCAGGACACGGTTCTGTGGAAGGACGTGTTCCGCAAGAATAACCAGCTGGCCCCCGTGGATGTTGACACCAATCGTTCCCGGGCCTGTAAGCCACGCGCATGCGGCAGCCCGCCTGACCCAGACTACTACTGGACAGCCCCGTCTCAGCCACCCACCCTACCCCGCTCTCCCTTCCTGTCCTTGCTGCTATCACGGTGTCATCTCCCTGCCTATAGGCAGGACCTCTACCTGCTGAGGCCTCTTTCCTTTCTGGGGTCTCTCCTCCCTACTGTGCATCTGCCCTTGGGCTCTGCTGACATGTTCTTCCCCCTGTTTGCTCCTCACTGGGCCCCTCCCTCGGCCTCCCTTTCTCTCTCTGCTTCCCTTCTTCACTGCCTTCCTCCTGTTCTCAGCTTCCTCCCTCGCTACCTCCTCCTCCTCTCATTGCCTCCCTCTTCCGTTGCCTCCTCCCTCTCTTCCTGCCTCCCTCCTTCCCCGACTCCATCCCTCACCATCTCCCTTTGCTTCTGTCCACAGGTCCACCCTGTGCCCCAGCCTGCAAAGACAATTACTGTTGGGGCGAAGGTCCTGAGGACTGTCAGACCCGTGAGTCCTGGTACCTGGAGGTGGGGTTGGGGCAGGTGGGCAGCTGGGAGCAGTGGGGTGACGTGCTTGTGAGATGTCTCCCAGAAGGCAGTGCTGCCAAGGGACCGATGCCCAGGTGCCCCCACCAGCCCTCATCCTGCCCTTTTGCCAACAGTGACTGGTACCATCTGCACCAGTGGCTGTGCCCGATGCAAGGGCCGGCTGCCCACCGACTGCTGCCATGAGCAGTGTGCCGCAGGCTGCACGGGTCCCAAGCATTCTGACTGCCTGGTATGTGCCTCTCACTCCTGTGCTCGCTGGGCCAACCCACCGGGACGCGAGGGGTGGGCCTCTCCCCTGGCACTGCCCTGCTGCCGTCGGCACACCAGGTGGAAACATCGCTGTGACCCCCAGCGGCCTGTCTCTACCAGGCCTGCCTCCACTTCAACCACAGTGGCATCTGCGAGCTGCACTGCCCAGCCCTCGTCACCTACAACACAGACACCTTCGAGTCCATGCCCAACCCTGAGGGTCGCTACACCTTCGGTGCCAGCTGCGTGACCACCTGCCCCTGTGAGTGCTGGGGAGAAAAACATTATTTTAATGCTGTGGCTTGTGTCAGTGGGAGCGTGTTCTAAGTATCGTGTGTCCCTCAGAGGGCTGGTCTAGCTGTCTAGCTGCCTCCTTTTTTTTTTTTTTTTTTTTTTGAGACAGGGTTTCTCTGTGTAGCTCTGGCTGTCCTGGAAATTGCTCTGTAGACCAGGCTGGCCTCAAACTCACAGAGATTCCCCTGTCTCTGCCTCCCAAGAGTGCTGGGATTAGAGGTGTGTGCTATCACCGCCCAGCCTCATTCTTTTTCTTAAAAAAATGTTTTATTTATATTTATTTTATGTGTGTGAGTGCATTGCCCATGGAGGTCAGAAGAAGGGGTCAGATCCCTGGGAACTGGAATTCCAGGCCATTGTGAGGCACCATGTGGGTGCTGAGACTGAACCCGGGTCCTCTGCAGGAAGGGCCAATGTTCTTATTTGCTGAGCCATCCATCTCTCTGAGAGCCCTTGCCTTTTCCTTTTTTGTTTTGCTTTGTTTTAGACAGGGTCTCTTTGTGTAGCCCTGGATGTCCTGTACCTCGCTTGGTAGCCCAAGCTGGCCTCAGATTCACAGAGATCCTCCTGTCTCTGCCTTCCAAGTGCTGGGATTAAAGGTGTGCACCACCACCACCGCCCGGCTCCTCCCAACCTCCTTTTAAGTCTCCATCTCAGCTAGCTTAGCCTGGCCTTACCTTGAACTCACCATGTAGCCAAGAATGACATTGAACTCTGATCCTCCTGCCTTGGCCCGGACAAGTGCTGGGATTACACCTCTCCTGGGTTTTTGCCTCATTCTATTTAACAGTTACATACATAGCAGGGGGCAGCAAAAGAGCCCAGACGTGGGAGCTGGCGTGCTGGATTTGACATGCCCCCTACCACTTAACCAGTTTTACTGTTCTCCTCTGGCTGTGCCTCAGTCTCCTCACTGTAAAATAGAGGCAGTAATTGTCCCATCCTCCTAATTGTGTAACGTCTGAATGAGCTAATATTGTGAATCTTTGAGAACATTGTCTAGCCTGTACTAAATACTCTTTTAAATGTGCCTTGTTCTACGGTCTGCACTATAGGGCTTTGTGTGACAGTAACCCAAAACACTGATGGACACTTAGGGGCTGGGCTTGGACCTGGGGACCCTCTTTCCTTCCTCTCGTGGGAGATAGAGTGGGCCTTTAGGTTCTGGCTCTGCTTGCCTGTGGCCGGGGTGAGAAGACAAGGTGGGGAACCAGATTGATGGGTTCAGATCCTGGTTCCTGGTGGATGTGGCACAAACCTGTCACCCTAACACTTGGAGAGTAGAGGTGGTGGGGTCAGGAGTCCAAAGTCATCCTCAGCTGCATAGTGAGGATGCCTAAAAAAATATATATGTATATACGTATATATATGTGTATATATATATGTATATACGTATATATATATGTATGTATGTATATATATGTATGTATGTATATATATATATATATATATATATATATATATCCTAGTTCTGTTACATAGCAGCACAGCGATGGGAGTGATTTGTATAACTCTATGCTTTGATTTCCCTTTTTGCAAAATGCAAATAACAGTGCTGTTCTCATAGGAGTGCTGTAAGGAATAAATGATTGTCCTGAGGTCAGAGGCGCAGAAAGGGCTTTCGGGGATTGGTTGGTGGCGTTCTTCTGGGCACCGTGGCCTTGTTTGTGGTGGGCTGGGAGGGGCCTAGGGCACATGGATTTGTATTCCCACTTCGTCCAGACAACTACCTGTCTACGGAAGTGGGGTCCTGCACGCTGGTCTGTCCCCTGAATAACCAAGAGGTCACCGCTGAGGACGGAACACAGCGCTGTGAGAAATGCAGCAAGCCCTGTGCTCGAGGTAGCTGCCCCGTTCCGAGATCCGCCTCACTCCCTAACTGCCGTCCCAGGCTGGTTCACCCAACTCTTGCCTACGCCTGGGTCCTAGTCCTTCCCTCCCCACCTCCATCTTTGCCTACCCTGCCCCTCTCCAGCTCGGTCTCCTGAGCTTCTCTTGTTGGCATAGGGAAATGACTTGTCACTTCAGGAGGGGACAGCAGACAGGCCTCTGGCACACCATGTGGTGCTCAGGTGACCTGCTTCCCCTCCCTTTCCTTCAGTGTGCTATGGTCTGGGCATGGAGCACCTTCGAGGGGCCAGGGCCATCACCAGCGCCAATATCCAGGAGTTTGCTGGCTGCAAGAAGATCTTTGGGAGCCTGTCATTTTTGCCGGAGAGCTTTGATGGGTAAGGGTGCACAGTGGCCTGAGGGAGGACACAAAGCCTGGAAGAGCCATGAGTGTCAGCAGCATCTCTGGGGACGCCCCTGGGTGGAAGGCAGGTGGGGACCAGAGGGAGCCGGGGTGTGGAGCTGAAGGTTCCTTTTGTAAATAGCACGTGATCCATAGATATGGACATAGTGGTCAAACCATCCAGATAAAGTCCAGGGTACCCATCCCAGAGGACATGTCGTTAAAGTTTCCTCTAGGCCTTGTGTGTATTAGTGGGCACAGAGTGGACAGCGTTGGCTGGGCAGGCTACTTTATGGAAACTGCCATGTACCCCTTGTTTTAGGGACTTGTTTTTGTGTAGCTGCCTCCTTTTTTTTTTTTTCTGATAATTTTTTTTTTTATTTTGTGTGCGTTGGTGTCTTGCCTGCATGTATGTCTGTGTGAGGGTCCTTCTGAGCCATCTCTTCAGCCTTTAGCCCCCAAGCTGGCTCCTCTCTCTCTCTCTCTCTCTCTGGTTTTTTGAGACAGGGTTTCTCTGTGTAGCCCTGGCTATCCTGGAACTCAGTAGACCAAGCTGGCCTCAAACTGCCTGCCTCTCCCTCTGCTGGGATTAAAAGCATGCCCCACCACCACCACCTGGCAGCTCATTTTTATAATAGCTACAGAATAGGAGGAAGCAAAGATAGGCATCAGAGCCTAGACTTCAGTTGGGTTTAAAAATCTATCTCTGTTCACCTGTCTGTCTGTCTCTATCTCTCTCTCTCTCTTTGTGTGTGTATGTAGGGACTATGCCTGGGCTTTTTTAATGTGGGTTCTGGGTATTGAACACTGTTCCTCATGCTTGAATGGCAGAGTCCGACTGATGGGCTTCACTGCCTTCTCCTTTCTATGCCTCTGTGCCCTCATGTGTAAAATGAGGACCATCATAGCTCTACGCTCAAGCTGGTTGTGAAGTCTGAAAGAGTTACTATTTGGGACACTCTTAGAACACTCTTAGAACAGCGCTTGATGGACACCAAGCGTTCTCTGTGTTCGTATTTTAGAGTCTGCAGAGATCGGGGGTTTGTGTAGCGGCACCCCTGATCATCAGTGGCTACTTGGGTGATTTTTCAAATGTCTTTCACGTAAACAGTTCAGCTTGCTTATGACCCTGGCAACTGAAGCCAGTGTCTACGCAGGCCGTCGTACTGGCAAATGAGACTTCTGGATCACAGGACACAAACACTGCTCTGCCAGACCTGGACCCTGGACTCTGAGTCTCAGGGCGGGAACAGCCAAGCTTGATGGGCTCTAAGTGAGGGTGGTCAGGGAGGGTGGAGAGGGGTATGCCGAGGCTCCTGGGGTTCTGGCCCTCCATCCTCTCGCCCTGCTGATTTCTCCGGATCCTTCCAGCAACCCGGCCTCCAGTGTTGCCCCCCTGAAGCCTGAGCAGCTCCGAGTATTCGAAACCCTGGAGGAGATCACAGGTGGGCTCTGTCTGTTTGTCTGTCTGTCCTGCTCCACGGTGGGCCTGGAGTTCTAGACCTTTTTACATAGCCAGACCTCTCCTCTGCCTGTAGGTTACCTATACATTTCAGCATGGCCAGACAGCCTCCATGACCTCAGCGTCTTCCAGAACCTTCGCGTCATTCGGGGACGAATTCTTCATGAGTAAGTGTGCGGAAAGGGAGCCTGGGAGGCGGGGGGGGGTACCCCGCCCCCCCAGTGATAGCCCGGTAGCTTTTACACGAGTTTGCAGAGTGTGCCGAGGCAGGACGAGGGTGAAAGTGACCCCTCGACGCCCAGAAAAGGGGCCTAGAACAGGTACCTTCTTGCAACTGGAAACTCCATCTCCACAGTGGCGCCTACTCACTGACACTGCAAGGCCTGGGGATCCGCTCGCTGGGGCTGCGCTCACTGCGGGAACTGGGCAGCGGGCTGGCACTCATTCACCGGAACACCCAGCTCTGCTTCGTACACACTGTGCCTTGGGACCAGCTCTTCCGGAACCCCCACCAGGCCCTGCTCCACTCTGGGAACCAGCCGGAGGAGGAGTGTGGTAAGACAGGAAGCTCAGCACTGAGGGCCAGTACACAGGAGTATCCGTAGCCTCTGGTGGCAGCCCCCTGCAACCCCTGCAAACCTCCCGTCTTAAAGCCCTTTTGTTGTTGTTGTTTTGAGACAGGCTCTCACTGTGTAGATCTGGCTGTCCTGGAACTCACTGTGTAGACCAGGCTGGCACAGGCTGCCGCTACCTCCCCAGTGCTGGGAATAGAGGTGTGAGCCACAGGGCCTGGCTACAGCCCTGTCTTTCTTCACCTGCCTGTGGAGGGCTTAGCCTTGTGGCATGGCTTCCGGCCGTGTCCCTCGAGCTGTCCAAACAGCCATCCCTTCCCCCTTTTTTGAACCTGCCTGTCCTATCGCCAATCCCTACCCCTTCAACCAGGATCCACGCTCATAGCCTTTTTAGCTTAGGCCTGAGCCCCTCCTAACTCTCCCATCTGCTGCTTTTTCTCCTCACTGCAGGTCTCAAGGGCTTGGCCTGTAACCCACTGTGTGCCCAAGGGCACTGCTGGGGGCCAGGGCCTACCCAGTGTGTCAACTGCAGCCAGTTCCTTCGGGGCCGGGAGTGTGTGAAGGAGTGTCAAGTGTGGAAGGGGTATGAGTGGCCGAGGAGTGGGTGGCCAGAGGGGCACACGGGGCACCTCCCAGACCCTCTCACTATGCCCATCTCTCTCGCAGGCTCCCCAGGGAGTACGTGAGGGACAGGCACTGTCTGCCGTGCCACCCCGAGTGTCAGCCTCAAAACAGCTCAGAGACCTGCTTTGGCTCGGTGAGGCGCCAGCGGGCTCAGGGCTGAGGCGGGGGGTGGGGGTGGGCAGGCAGGGCGGTGAGGGTCTGGTTGCTGCAGGGTGGAATACTCTCAGAGAAGGCTTCAGCTCAGCCCGGGACAGCGGGAGGGGGGATGGTCCAGGAGGCTGGGGTCACGCTGTGCCTGGGACCCTGGGCTACCCTTTCATGTCGTTGACACTGGAGCCCTTCAGACTGGGACAAGGACCCAAGAAGGCCCGTGTCCTTGGCGGTGGCTGTGCCAAGGACCAAGTGCAGGTCCTGTTACCAACCTCGATTTTCACTTCTGTGAGGTAAATGTTGTAATAGTTCCTACCCGGGTGTGGTGAGAACAAAATTAAATAGGATCTGGCAAGGTGCCCAAGCACGAAAAAAACTTTGTACATAATAGTTGCTACTTGTCACACCTTAGAGAAAGCACGTCCTCCCTGGGTGCCTCCACTTCCTTGTAAAGAGCAGCGAGGCAGGGAGCTGATGTTTCTGATGGGTCAGAGCCACAGGGCCTGCCTGACCCTTCCGATGACCCTTCCTCTCCTCTACCCAGGAGGCTGATCAGTGTGCGGCCTGCGCCCACTACAAGGACTCCTCCTTCTGTGTGGCTCGCTGCCCCAGTGGTGTGAAACCAGACCTCTCCTACATGCCCATCTGGAAGTACCCGGATGAGGAGGGCATATGCCAGGCGTGCCCCATCAACTGCACGCACTCGTGAGTGAAGGGGATCTTTTTGTAGAAGGGGGGACTTTCCGTGAGAGGAGCCTCTTTGGAGCTCTTATTGTGAAAAGAGGATAAGTCCACCTTCGCTTACAGGGAGATGTAATTTTTGTATCTTTTTCTAATTACAAAATAACACACTGGGGTCTGGAGGGGCAGTTTGGGTGGTTCTGTGGTTAAGAGCACTTGCTGCTCTTTTCAGCGGGCACCTCATGATTGCCCATCATCTTCAGCCACTCTGATGCCTTTTTCTGGCCTCTGCAAGGAACATGCACTCACTCGCAAGCATACATGCACATCCACACACGACACTCGGACATACACACTCATACACACACACTCACACATACCCACACCCACTCAGACATACACATACTCAGACACAGACACGCCGAGATGCACACACACTCAGGCACATAGTCATGTTTACAGACACTCAGACACATCCATGTAAATAAAGTTAAAAATAACACACTGGGGCCACCAGGATGGCTTAGGGAATAGAGAGGCACTTGCTCAGAAGCCCGGGGATTTCAGTTAAGTCCTCAGGACTCCGGTAGAGAGGACCGACTCCCAAAGGTTGTTCGCTGGCCCTCGCGTGCCTGCTGTGACACATGCATGTCTCCCAAGGACATGTACACACACACTAATACATAAATGTAACTAGAATACGTTTTTACAGTAACACGTTGAAATGCGAAACAATGCTGCTGGCAGTTCTTCTGGGAATAATTTGAACTGTTTTGTTTTTAAACAGTTTCTTGCCATTCAGCTCCACATACTGAGGGACACCCGTGTCCATGCCTTCTTGTTGACCTGGTGTCAGCATCTGTTGGGACAGAACTGTTGATATTTTATTGCTTGGTTGGTGGAGGTAGATGCCAGGGCCTTGTAGACCCTCTCCCACTAAACTGCCAGTCCCGAGCTGTTTAGTGGGTCTTGCCAAACTCTCCTCACATGGGCCATATTCCCTGGGTCTCTTTTATGGAGGGACTAGCTGTCCTTCCAGCCTTGATAGCACAGCACAGAAGATTACAGGAATGTAGGGGACGTGGGCTCCCAGGCTGAAGAAGGAGTCTTCTTGTGGGCTGGCACCGAGCAAATTGGTGACCTGGAGCCCAGTCTCTGCTTGTCACAGTGGAGATAATCCGGTTACACCAGCCCCAGGAGGCTGTTCCCAGGGTTGATGATGGCACTCTCTCTTTTGCAGCTGTGTGGACCTGGATGAACGAGGCTGCCCAGCAGAGCAGAGAGCCAGGTAAGCCTGAGCCCCAGAGGCACCCCATTACCCCTGACTCCTTCACTGACTTGGATGGTCGGTCATGAAGGGAGGATTACCTAACATGCCCCACACGCCACCCTCCTTAGCCCATTCTTTCTGTTATCGGCTTTTGTTTCAACAAGTGGATAAAGACCTCAGGATGCTTTGGGGTAAGGGATGCTGGGAAATGTGGTCCCCTAGGGACACAGGCCAGATTCAAGTTCCTAGAACTGCAGATAGACCAAGAGTGCAGTGAGGGTACACAGAGCCTTTGAGCGTCCTCGCTGGGCAGTTGGAGGCTTCCAGAATGGACGCTGAGCTCTCTTTGCACTCAGGTGGAGGGCCAGGCAAGACTAGGGTAGCTAAGAGCTCTCTGGTATGTGTGCTGCGAACCGTATCAGTACAGGAGAGGTGTACACTGAGCCATGAGGGCCAGATCCAGAGGGTTGAGCCCTTGACCCCTGGGCCACAGGCCTTTGGTTTGTCAGAAGAGCTTTAGAAAGGAGAAAAGCAACCTAAGGTGTACTCCAGAGAGCTGTTTTTTTTTGTCCATGAAGCAAACATTAGATGTTCGCTGCATGGAAGGCTTCGCGCAGAGCAAGATGGGGTATAAGGGAACAAGGGTGACAGGAATGTTTTCTGCCTGAGCGTGGTGGCACCCACCTGTAACCCCAGCACTTGGGAGACCGGGGCACATGGACTGTGAGTACAAAGGCAGCCTGGGCTACAGAGTGAGGTAGTCTCAAAACTTAAGTAAACCAGCACATTAAATGGGCTGGTGAATATCGAGGAGGTCCTTTGTTCCCCAAGATGAGCTGAATCATAAACGGTGACATCATGGAGAAATAGGGGTCCTGGTAATGGGAACAGCTCTGAGGCATGGAAACCGTGGCTCCTTGGAGACTGCTTTGACTCGTACCTGAGTCTGGGGTTACACATTCAAGGATCCCATTTCATATGTGGCAGAAGCCTCCAGGGGTGGGCTGCAGAGTTTAGATTAACAAGGTCTTCGGTGGATTTTCTCCCAGGAAGTTTTGGAGCCGAAGCACATTTCTGTCCCTCCTTTTTTTGCATTGTTTTTTTTCGAAGCTATTGTTTTTCAGTGTTTCAGCCTCAGCCTGTCCTAGACCAGGCTGGCCTCGGAACTCACAGCAATCCGCTTGCCTCTTCCTCTTAGAACGCTGGGATCAAAGGGCGGCCCTTCCTGTCCTTTCATGGGTCTCTTCAAACTCCCTCTTCAGACTAACCCCCAGTCTCTGATTCTGGGCTCCGTTTCCAGCCCGGTGACGTTCACCGTCGTAACTGTGGTGGGCACCCTGTTGTTCCTGGTCATAGTGGTGGTCGTTGGGATCCTAATCAAGCGAAGGCGGCAGAAGATCCGCAAGTATACCATGCGAAGGCTGCTGCAGGAAACTGAGGTGAGGCGGGGTGGGCGCCTCCTAGCGGCCTCCTGGATCCGTGCAGCTTGCTTGGCGCTCACCTACCCACCTCTCGCTCCAGCTAGTGGAGCCGCTGACGCCCAGTGGAGCCATGCCCAACCAGGCTCAGATGCGAATCCTAAAAGAGACGGAGCTGAGGAAGGTGAAGGTGCTTGGATCGGGAGCCTTCGGCACTGTCTACAAGGTCTGGAGAAGCGGGGTTCTGGCCTGGGCGGGTCTGGGGGAGGGGCTGTGCCTGAAGGGGCGTGGTCAAGAGGGGAGTGGGCGGAGCTGGAAAGTGGCTCGTGGGGATCAGCTCTATCAGGGCCACACAGGTCTGATTCAAGTCCTTTTCTTCCCGTTTAGGGCATCTGGATCCCAGATGGAGAGAATGTGAAAATCCCCGTGGCCATCAAGGTGTTGAGGGAAAACACATCTCCTAAAGCTAACAAAGAGATTCTAGATGTAAGCGCCTTCACCCCCTCCCTTGGGAATTGTGAGGAGACCCCTAGCTGTAGCTCGGGAATGCTTTCTCTTCACTGGGGTTTGAGATGGAGCCTCAAAACTTCGATTCCTAATCTTCCTAATGTGGGGTCCCTGGATGTAGCCGGTGAGGGATGGGTGAGGCTCTCTGGGAAAGGAGAGGATAGTGGGTGGGAGTGGGTAGGTTCCTGTAGCCCTCAGTGTACCCTTGTCTGCAGGAAGCATATGTGATGGCTGGTGTGGGTTCTCCGTACGTGTCCCGCCTCCTGGGCATCTGCCTGACATCCACAGTGCAGCTGGTGACACAACTTATGCCCTATGGCTGCCTTCTGGACCATGTCCGAGAACACCGAGGTCGCCTAGGCTCGCAGGACCTGCTCAACTGGTGTGTTCAGATTGCCAAGGTATGTGCTTGGAGGCTCCCGGCTTTGCAGGTTCCTTGCGTGCAAACCCCCGTCTTCATTCGGGGCCAGGATGGGGTGAGGTGTGTCTCCAAGGTGAGATTTAGACTCAGGTTCCACACTGGTGCCCACCATCCAGGGGATGAGTTACCTGGAGGACGTTCGGCTTGTGCACAGGGACCTGGCCGCCCGGAATGTGCTGGTCAAGAGCCCCAACCACGTCAAGATTACAGACTTCGGGCTGGCACGGCTGCTGGACATTGATGAGACAGAATACCATGCAGATGGGGGCAAGGTTGGAGGAGGCAGAGGAGGGCTGGGCTGGGATTGGCCTTTGGAAGAAGTCGGAGAGGGGTCCCCTCCCTAAGCACAACCAGTCAGGACACGTTGCTCTGCCTTCCCAGGTGCCCATCAAATGGATGGCGCTGGAATCGATCCTTAGACGGCGCTTCACTCATCAGAGCGACGTGTGGAGCTATGGTGTGTGGAGGCGGTGATAGGGAGGGGCTGGCTGGCTGGGTAGCCACGGCAGGGCGGGCCACAGGTAGACGCGTGAGGGTGGGGATGGAGGAAGAGCAGGAGGAGGGCTGCTTATGGCCACCCTGTGGGGTCCCCTGCGCTGACCTGGGGGGTGAGGAGACTGGGTAGAGTGGGAGGGGGCTCTCGGCACAGCCTCTTCCTCTCCACACCCACACTTCCTCTGTTCCCCCCACTCCTGATGCCTGTCTGTCCTAGGTGTGACCGTGTGGGAGCTGATGACTTTTGGGGCCAAACCTTACGAGGGGATCCCCGCCCGGGAGATCCCTGATTTGCTGGAGAAGGGTGAACGCCTGCCTCAGCCCCCCATCTGCACCATTGACGTCTACATGATAATGGTCAAATGTGCGTGGCAGGGCTGAACCTCGGGCATAGAGGAAGGGTGGTACGACCTCTGTGGGTGCTTACAAGCTGGGGGGCAAAGGGTGGGGCGTGAATGGGCTCCAGTGTCCCTGAAGGAGCCTCGAAGTGTCTTTACCCATTCACTGTAGCAGGCCCAAGCTGCTAGAGAGGACAGCTGTTGAGAGTGGAAACGCTCCAGGGCTCTGGCTCAGGGTCCCAGAGTCCAGTTGCACTCCATCATGGGAGGACCTTCAGCTTAGCCAGGGTTGTCTAGGCCCAGACTCAAGGGGGAGCAGGAAGGGGCTGGGCAGCTGGTCCTTGGACCTGTCCCAGGACAAGGATGCTGAGCTCTCTCCTGCCCTAGGTTGGATGATTGATTCCGAATGCCGCCCGAGGTTCCGGGAGTTGGTATCAGAGTTCTCCCGCATGGCGAGGGACCCCCAGCGCTTTGTGGTCATCCAGGTACTGGGCCTTCCCACACCATCCCTGGCCTGACAGCATCCTCCTTCCTGCCAAGTCCCCGAGCCCAGCCCCACCTCTAGCCTAAGCTTGGCGAACCCTGCAAGGGAGCTAAACGCTAGGCTGGGAAGGGCTGCCACGCTGTGTCTCCTTCCTCCCTAGAATGAGGATTTGGGCCCATCCAGCCCCTTGGACAGTACCTTCTACCGTTCCCTGCTGGAGGATGATGACATGGGTGATCTGGTGGATGCTGAGGAGTACCTGGTACCCCAGCAGGGGTTCTTCTGCCCAGACCCTGCCCCAGGCACCGGAAGTACGGCCCACCGCAGGCACCGCAGTTCGTCCACCAGGGTCAGTGCCCGTCTCAGAACAGAGGCTATCAGGGTCCTGTCCCTTGTGCTCCCCCATGCTCACCTTTCCCGAGGATTCCATTACCAGTGCTGCTTTCCAACCCTCCCGAGGTGACCTGTGTCTTTCTCCTGGGACCCTGTCATTCTCCTCCAAGGCCCCCCCCTTCCCAGACCTCTGAGCAGTTTCCATCACGACCCTCTCTTACCCCAGAGTGGAGGTGGCGAGCTGACACTGGGCCTGGAGCCCTCGGAAGAAGAGCCCCCCAGGTCTCCACTGGCTCCCTCAGAAGGAGCCGGCTCTGACGTGTTCGATGGCGGCCTGGCGGTGGCGGCAACCAAAGGGCTGCAGAGCCCCTCCCCGCTTGACCTCAGCCCCCTCCAGCGGTACAGCGAGGATCCCACCTTACCTCTGCCCCCCGAGACTGATGGCTACGTTGCTCCCCTGGCCTGCAGCCCCCAGCCCGGTATGGAATCCGGGCCTGAGAGACTGGGAGGAGGGGAGTTCAGAACCCTCAGGCCACACCCGCTGAGGGGCAATGGTGGGGCTCTTGGTCCCTTTTCCTCACAACTCCTCTCTTGCAGAGTATGTGAACCAGCCAGAAGTTCGGCCTCAGCCTCCCTTGACCCCCGAGGGTCCTCTGCCTCCCGTCCGGCCTGCTGGTGCTACTCTAGAGAGACCCAAGACCCTCTCTCCTGGGAAGAATGGGGTCGTCAAGGACGTTTTTGCCTTTGGGGGTGCTGTGGAGAACCCTGAGTACTTAGCACCCAGAGAAGGCACTGCCTCTCGGCCCCACCCTTCCGCCTTCAGCCCTGCCTTCGACAACCTCTATTACTGGGACCAGAACCCATCAGAGCGGGGGTCTCCCCCAAGTACCTTTGAAGGGACCCCTACAGCAGAGAACCCCGAGTACCTGGGCCTGGATGTGCCAGTGTGAGGTCACATCAGCAGAGGCCCTGTTGTACCTTCCGAGTGGGGAAGGCCTGACTTGTCTCCATCACCGCAGAGCGGGAAGAGGGTCCTCTGGCCACATCACACATCCAGGACAGCTGGCTATGCCGGGAACCTGTCCTAAGGAATCATCCTTGCTGCTTGAATCCTGTGGTTAAGAGGGGGCCCTGGCCGGAAGAGACGGCACACTGGACAGCCTCGGAGGACTGCAGACCCCGCCCTGGCAGACTGTAGGGTGCAGTGGGTATCACTGCTCCTCACCAGGCCCGGCTCTCTTGGTTCTGAGGACTGAGGGAAGCTCAGCCTAGAAGGGAAGAGGCCCCAAGGGACTATCCTGGAAACAGGACTTAGACATGTGCACCCCAAGAGGGGGGCTGCACCTGGCATCCAGACCAATCTTTGTACAGAGTGTATTTTGTTGTTTTTACTTTTTTTTTTTTTTTTTTTTAAAGATGAAATAAGGACACCGTGGGAGAGTGGATGTTCTATGGAGGTTAGGGAGTGGTGTCCCTCTTTCTCTTCGCGGTGAGATTTGTAAAATTAGCTGGGCTCCAGCTTATGTCTGGGAGCGGTTCCAGGCCAGAGCTTACTGCTCACCTGACTCACAGCTGTCCCTGGAGTGAGTGTGTAGAGGTCCTCCAAAAGTTTGAAGTGGTTTGGCGCTGGGGTTGAGGGACTGGGAAGTTGGGATTCCTTTCTGGGCGCCTTTTGGCACACCGTCATTCCAAGGCCACCCCCAGAACGAGGTCCTTTCCTCCTAGTGGGAAAGTGGAGTTGGGGGAGGGGCAGGGAGCATGTCACATGACTTGTTTTCCTTGCCTTAGAGTGAAGTATCCAGAACAAGCACACCCACTAGGTGTTAACAGGGCCAGACTGACCCGTGGGCTCCCCTCCAAGGCTGGACATAAACACACACCAGTTGGCACAAGTGTTTGTAGTTAACCTTTATTGCCAAGAGCTGATGCTCCCAGGAAAATAAGTTACAGCGATTGTGGCTGTATTTGGCAGGTATTGCCAAGCTGGGGAGAGGACCGAACTGCATAGGGCATGGATCCTGGGAAAGGGGTGTGAGGTGGCTGCGGAAATGTCCACGGAGAACATCTCTTTTCTGCCTTCAAGACCACAGAAATGTCTAATCCCTCCTTGTGTCCAAAGAGGCAGCGTGGAGGTCGGGGTCCTAGCTACCTAGAGCTAAGGTGAGGGGCAAAAGGCAGAGGGAGTTCCTAGCGGAACCACAAGGAAACAAAGGTCTGAACTCCAGAACCAATCTCCCAAGAGTGCTGTGTAGTCACAGGATGACACAGGGAGGCCGGCTGTTGGTGATCTTTTCTAAGGGTTCTCCATTGCTGGCTCTTCGGATGGCTTCGATGAGCTAGGGGACAGACGTTGGCCACTGTCACGCATAGGAGAGGAAGGTGTGTCTCAGCCACCCTTCCCATCAATGCTTCGAATACTCACGTCTTTCTCATAAGGAAACCCCCCATTCTCCAGCTTGGAGAACACCAGCTGTCCATTGATCTCAATCTCGAAGGCCCCTGGTAGGAAATAAACGCAAGAATGAGCCAAGACCAGGCAAGACATTCGGGGAGGTCCTTGGTATTCCTGAGAGTCCGTGCAAGACTAGTCCCGGTTCTCAGATCCTTAAGCCATTCAGCCCAAGAACCTAGGGAGGCCTCACCTGCGTGTCCTGTTAAGCCGGTAGGGTACCAAGCCCACACTAGGCATTTTCACTAGGTGCCAGACACTGCTAGGAATTTTATATACAGCAGCCAGTGTCAGCTCTAGAAGGTAGCAGAGCTGCGGCTTTAAGACCGACTGACTCAGCAGGTGCTCTCCGGACCTCACCTGTCCCCCCGTGCCGCGACTCAATCTCGATGCCGGGATACTCCTCCTTCACGGCGCTGGCCAGCTCCAGGTAGGTCGACTCAAAGCCGCAGGGTTCACTGGGGAGAAGAGACGTGGGGTGAGCTGGGGTTCCGGGGGTGGGGCCTCCCGTGGACCCACCCCCATCCTGACGGCGGACACAGGGGCCTCCTTTCCAGCCGGAGTGGCTCACCAGTACTCCACCACGATGCGGACTCCACTGCCCGCTTCCACCTCCCCGGGAGGGGGCACTACGGACACCTGGCCCGGCTCCCCACTCATTGCTGCCCGCTCCGCTGCAGGGCTGCTTCCGGGTGTGACGCCACGCCAAGGTCACGTGGAGGGGCGTGCCATGGGCGTGGCCGGACCGCGCTCTGCATCTGGGCGCCCTCTGCAGTCAGCCGCTGTGGCTGCATCTCGTCTTGATCCTGTCGTGCAGCCGGAGAGCGAGTGTGCTGGGCCAGCTAGGTGAACCTACTGAAACAAACCTTCCCTGATCTGGGTAATGAGAGCGCGGGATTTCTTCGGCATCCACCGCTCCCTGGATCCTGGATCCTGCCTACAAAAGAACTGCCTCTCATTGCAAAGCTCTTTCCCATTTACAAACAAAAGAGAGAAGATGGGGCAAGCAGCTAAGGATGGGGCTGAGGTAGTCGATGGTTTGTGATTGTTGCTATTTCTCGCCAGCGTGATGATGGCATTTGAAACCAACCCATAGTTGCATCTCGAGCTATTAAAAAAAAAAAAACCTTTTAAGAATATTTTAATTATGTATATATGTGTGTGTGTGTGAATTTGTGCGTCTTGAGGACACCTTTTAAAACTTTTATTAATTTGTGGGTGTGTATTGGAGGTGGGGGCCATGCTTGTGGAGGTCAGAGTAAAACTTCCAGGAATCTGTCTCCTATCATGTGGGTCCCAATAATTGAACTCTCGAGTGTCAGGCTCTGCCTCTAAGGTCTATGTCACCTGTCAGTCCAATACTCTAGTTCTTTTGACTCTTCAGTGCCGAGCACTCCTTTCCAAACTGTTGTGACTTTTCCTGCACTTCAGAACCCTGAAGGAAGGAACGTGCCCGTTATTCAAGCTTTGCCTCCTCAAGGGCACCACCCATTTTCTGCACACACACCGTCTCATCCCAGCTTCTTGCTAGAGGGCTAGTGTCACTCTACCCAGTTTGTAATTCTGGAAGTGGTGGCAGCCTGGATCCTCCATGACACCTCCTTCCCTGAAGGGCCATTACAAGTCACCCACTCTAGTCTCCCTTTAGACTGTTTGTTGTTTGCTTAATTTTTGTTTGCTGAATTCTGTCGTCATCCCATCCAGTTATAGAATATTTCCATCAGTCTAATAAGATCTTTCCTGTTTGCTTGCGGTCTATCCAGCTTCCGACTCGAGCCCCAGGCAATCACCGAAATGCTCTCTATAAACTTTTCTGGGTATTTCACATAAATGGGACCTTGCAACACGTGGCTTTTGCTCTGTTGTATGAGAACAGGCCTCCAGCCAGGGGTGTGTCCAGGAGTTCCTTTTATTGACGAATGGTATTTCATTCCCTTGTGTAGATAGAGCACAGTTTATCTATCTCTTGACATTACTTTGGTTTTAGTAGGCTTTTGTCTGTTTTGAGTAATACTGTTATAAATGTCTTGTAGATGTCTTTGTATGTATGTGTGTTGCCATTTCTCTAGGGTAGATTCCTAGGAGTAGAATTACTGGGTTGTCTGGGAAATTCATAGCTAACTCTTTATGGAGTTGCCTGTCCTTTTTTTTTTTTCTTTCTTTCTTTCTTTCTTTGCAGCTGTATCATTTAACACTACCAACAGCAATACAGTACACAGGATTTGTTTCTTCATAGCCCTCACAAATACTGGTTGCTTGTTTCTTTGATGATAGTTATTCTGTTATGTGATGATGTTGGCCATCTTTTCAGGTAGCCATTAGCCATTCATACATATTACTTGAAACAAAAACATTCAAATTTTGTCTCTTTTTTTTTTTTTTGAACCAGGGTTTTCTCTGTGAAGCTCTGGCTGTCCATAAACCCGGTTGACCTTGAACTCAGAAATCTGCCTGCCTCTGCCTCTGCCCCTGCCCCTGCCTTTTAGAGCTGGCATTAAAGGGGTGCACCACCACCGCCTGATCAGTTTTGTTTGTTTTTAAGGTAAGGTCTCACTGTATAGATCTGGCTGTACTGGAACTCACAGAGATCCACCTGCCTTTGCCTTTTGAGTGCTAGGATTAGAGGCACGCGCCACCATGCCCAGCTTTTAGCTCAGTTTAATTGGGTTACTTATTTATTATTGGTATCTAGGAATTTTTTTATAGGTGTTGCTATGACGTTCTTTTGGAATGCATACAATTTACCCTTGTTCATTTCAAATGCTGATCTCTCTACCCCACTATCTGCTTTCAATCTGGACATTGCTGTGTCTCACGTTTGTGTACACATGCCACCATTTGTTCTCTATATTGTCAATTAAAAAAAGAACCAGCCACAGTGCTGAGCAATGGAGAGGATCGGGTGGGACATCCTGGTCCAGAATGGGAGGAAGAGGAAGGAAGCAGGAGAGAGGAGAAGAGGAGAATCTGCAGGAGAGGACTTGGAACCATAAGGAGAGATGAACTGGACCTAAGAGATGACTAAAAGCAAGTATAATGGGTGAAATCTGAATGGTAGGAAACTATGCGGGCTTGGAAGCTTAGGATGGAGTAACTGTTGCCCAGCATTGTGCTCTAGGTTAATTAAATAAATCCCAGTCTCTGTGTGGTGATTTGGTTATACAGCTGTTTAGGAATAACCGATGCTTAACTGAAAGATATATCAATAGTAAATATTAGTACCCATCAACATATATGTTTGCCATGCAATATCTCTTGGTATTTTCAGCACACACAAACACTAAATGAATACATGCAGTTACGTTTTTTTTCTTTGAATAAATAAATAATCCTCTGTCTAACCCAAGACTACACATGTTCTCTCATTATTTATTTAACTCTTTTTGTTTTTTGACATTTTATTATGGTTTGATCTTAGGGTCTTATAGCCTCAGCTCTGACACTTAGGTTTATGATGTGGCTTTTGTTTTTGTTTTTTTCTTTGCTTTGTTTTTGTGCTCTACATAGCACAGCAGTCCTGGAATTCACTATATAGGCTGACTGCTGGCCTTGAACTTACATAGACCCCTTTGCTTCTGTCTCCTGAGTGCTGGAGTTAAAGGCATGTGTTACCATCCCCCACCTATGATCTATTTTTAATGATTACTTTTATTTATGTATGTGCCTTGTCTGTGTGGATGCATAAGCAGATGCCTGTGGCGTCTAGAGGAGGACATTGGATCCCCTGGAGCTGGAGTTACAGGCAGTTGTGAACCTTTGGGTATTAAGCGATAGGAACTGAACTTGGGTGTTCTGAAGAGCAGCAAGTGCTCTTAACCACTGAGCTATCTCTTCAGCCCCTTATGATCTATTTAGAATTGTTTTTTTTGTGCATCACAGGAAGGAAAGAGCTAAATTAATCTTTTGGTATGTAAGCATTAAATTGTCACAGTGCCATCTAGTTTCTTCAGTACCATTCAGAAATATCTTCCTTCCGGTGTTGTAGCACATGCCTGTAGCCTCAGTCACCTGGCAGACAGAGCAAAAGGACAGCTGAATTCAAAATCCTTCTGGGCAACAGGGCAAAGCACTGTCTCAAAAGATCCTAGCCCTCCATTAAATGGACTCTGCAACCTTATAAAAATGCTACCGACACCAATCATGGTGGCACACACCTTCAATTCCAGCACCCGGGAGGCAGGGGCAGGGGCAGGTTGAGACCAGCCTTGTCTCTAAGGGGAGTTCCAGGCCAGTCAGAGTTATGTGGTGAGCTCCTGTCTTAAGTTCTGGAACTCACTCTGTAGACCAGGCTGACTTTGAACTCACAAAAGTCTGCCTGCCTTTGCCTCCTGAGGGCCAGGATTAAAGGCAGGCATCACCATAATCTGACACAGTATATTTGATAAGGATGTAATAGAAACTGGACTTTAAGCAGGGCATGGTAGTGCTTGCCTTTAATACCAGCACTCAGGAGGCAGAGGCAGGTGGATCTCTGTGAGTTCGAGGCCAGCCTGGTCTACAAAGCAAATCCAGGACAGCCAGTGATGGTTACACAGAGAAACCCTGTCTCAAAAAACAAAAAAGAAAGAAAGGAAGAAAGAAAGAGAGACTCTGATACTTGGTAGTTTAGATATAATCATGGTAGGTGCGGTGGCACACACCTGTAATCCATCGCTCAGGGAGACAGAGGCGGGCAGATCACTGTGGTTTCGAGGACAGCCTGGTCTACAAAGTGAGTCCAGGACAGCCAAGGCTACACAGAGAAACCCTGTCTCAAAAACAAAACAAAACAAAAAAAAGGTATTCATTTTGAGTGTACGCATAAGGGTGAATACACCATTAGCACGGTGCTCCTGTGGAAGTCAGAGGACAATTTATTCTCTCCTCCCCATGTAGTTCCTGAGAACTGAACTCAGGTCATCAGGCTTGCAGCAAGCATCGCTACCTGCTGAGCCATCCACCAGGCTTCTTCAGATCAAGGTATTTCATGATGGCACAGGTCTATAACCTCAGGAGAAGCTTCCCAAAGCCTTGTGAGCCAAGGCAGAAAGCAAAATCCCTTTGAGAAGGGGTTCTTGCCAGTCTGAGAAGCAAAGATTTGTGAACCTAATAACCTCCCAGAGTGAGGAAGAGGTCAGGATCCAGTGAGGGAGGCAGAAAAAAATATCTCTCTTTGGAAGCAGGAGCACAGACTGAGAAGCCTCAAGCATCTGAATTGGTAAGGTCTAGAAGAAAAGCTGGGAGGCTGTTTAAACTGCTTTCTCAGGACAAAAGCTTATGTAAAGGAAAAAGGCCAGTTTAATAGGTCCAAACTAAGTGCTTTTCCAAGTCAGACAGGCACTCAACCGATTGGGGGAGGAGTAGGGATCTGATATAATAATTCTAAGTTACAGGTGGGAGGCAAAACTACACCTCTTTTCTGTGAACTGATAAAAAGGAGTGTTATGAGACACAGCACAGTGCAAAAGAACACAGAAGGGGAACAGAACTTATGATCAGGTAAACTGTTTAATAATCACACTTTTATGCTATATACAAATGTTAAGGAAACAAAGCGGACAGGATGGGAGAGACAATAAAATAGGCTTCTTGGAGCTTGGCTGATAATCTCTTCTACAGTTTTAAGACAGAAATAAAGGAAAATTTAGAAATGATGACTATGGTTAATTCATAGCCCTCATTAATCATTGGATTATCCTTTTATGTCTTCTCAAAGGCAAGGGCTTTAGGAAAGATACTGGAACAGCACAAAGAACAACTAGAACAATATAAAGAAAAAATTAAAAGTTGGAAGTGAGGCATAAAACAAGAGATTCAAGAGATTGTTGAACAAAACAAACAACAAAAAGGTAGGTGTGAAATATGGGTACAGACCTTAAGAGGAGAGTTTAGAATACTAAGTAAAGAAAATACTCAGGCAGAGGCGAAAGATAAAAATAAAGAAGGCCAGCCAAAGGTGGTTAGAAAACAAATGTTAGCTTATCCAGTCAGTATATAGCAGAGACCAGCAGATGATGATCATCCACAGGATTATCACAAAGCTGAATGGCACCCTGTGGAAGTGCTAGATCAGAGGAAATTTAAGGAAAGTGTCACTAATTTTGGAATGCATTCACCATTCATAAAACAAATGCTGACTTCCTGGTCAATCAGAAGTAGAGTAATCCCAAAGGACCGGGAGGATATGGCAAAGGCAGTATTAGAACCTGGGCCATATTTACAATGGTTTTCATGGTGGAGAGAAGAGGCTAGAGAGATAGCACACAAAAATAGAGCCAGAGGTGTTGGTGTTTCTAAGGAACAGCTGCCTGGTGATGGCCAATGTGCTGACACAGAGATGCAAGCTGTAAATAGTGAAGAAACCTTAGCATGATGTCACCCTAGCAGCCTTAAATGCCTGGGACAAGGTTGAGGAATCAGGAAAAAGGCTTGAGCCATTCTCCTAGGTCACACAAGGTCCAAGTGAAGCATTCACTAACCTTTTGCAAAGATTGGCGTCAGCTGTGGATAGAAGTATATCAGATCCACTAGCTAAAAGGCACTAATAGGCTCTTCAGCTTATGAAAATGCTAATACTGAATGCAAAGAGGCGATAAGGCCATTAAGAGCAAGATCTGCTCCAATAGACAAATGGATTAGAAATAGGATTGACATCAGAGCTCACTCACCCAGTATGACCTTGATAGGAGAAGCTAGCTCTAAACGCTTTGGGAAATGTCTTAATTGTGGTGGTTGAGATTACTACAAAGGAAATTACAAGGAAAACCAAAAATAATTCGAAAAAGGAGCACATGCTTCCTAGAATATGCAGAAGATGTGGCAAGGATCGCCATTGGCCTAGTGAATGTAGAGCAGCAACAGATAAATGGAGTAATCCTTTATAAAAAAACTCCCAAGAGGGCCTCTCGAAGGCCGCAATACAGGACAGAGATACTCCTCCACAAGAAAATTAAACACCACTGCTCTAGGAATAAAATTAGACATTAAAAAATCAGACAGGTCAGAGCAAGTTCTATAGATAGATAAATAGATAAATAAATAAATAAATAAATAAATAAATAAATAAAACAGGAAGGAAACAAAAAACAAATACGCTGGCAAACATCTATAGATGATCAAAGGCCAAAGTTAAAGAAAATTTTAAGTAATATTGAAATTGAAAGCATAGTGGATACTGAGGCTGATGTCACAACCATCACTCCTAAATCCTGGTCCCCAAATTGGACACTTCAAGAGGTTGATATCCAATTCCAAGGAGTTGGAACTATATTTAAAGTAAGACAAAGTGTCAGGTGGCTTAAATGTACAGGACCAGAAGGTCAAATAAGAAAATTAGGGCCATACGTAGCTGAAATAGCCATAAATTTATGGGGAAGAGATCTGTTGCACCAAAGGAAAACCCAGATTAACATCCCCCAATTTCAGAGGCAAGCCAAAAAACAGGTAATACTCCTGATAAAGAAATTAAAATTATTTTTAAAATGCCATCAAGAATAGTTTCAGACTGTCTAGGCTGTCCATAAACAAAAATACAGCAGGAGCCGTCTTTTCAACTTCATGTTGGGAAGCCACTGCTGATAAAAACCCCACAGCCTTACCACTAAGGTGGTTGGCTGACCAAGCTATTTGGATTGAACAATGGTCTATGAGTAAAGAAAAATTACTGGCACTAGAACAGCTGGTCCTGGAACAGCTGGGGCCTCACCATATACAGGAGTCCAACAGCCCTTGGAATTCTCCTGTATTTGTCATCAAAAAGAAATCTGGCAAATGGAGGATGTTAACAGATCTCAGAGCAATTAACAAAATTATTCAGCCAATGGGATCGTTACAATCTGGAATCCCATTGCCTTCCTTGTTACCTAAGGAATGGCCTATTATGGTGATTGATTTAAAGGATTGCTTTTTCACAGTTCCTTTACATGAACATGATAGGGAAAGGTTTGCTTTCTTGGAACCCACTTTGAATAGAAGCTGTCCAATAAAGAGATATCACTGGAGGGTCTTACCACAGGGGATGTTAAACAGTCCTACTTTGTGCCAATATTTTGTACAACAGCTGTTGGAGACAATTCGTAATCAATTTCCTCAATCCATAACTTACCACTATATGGATGATATCTTATTAGCTGATTCAGATATGAAAACATTAGAAAAAATTTTGAAGAAGTAAACAGAACGTTGTCTTGTTGGGGATGACAGACTGCTCCTGAAAAAATACAAAGAGGAGATTCTATTAATTACCTAGGATATAAAATAGGTCTACAGAAAATTCAACCACAAAAGGTACAAATTAGAAGAACCCAATTAAGAACTCAAAAATTGCTGGGAGATACTAATTGGTTCCAGCCTACATTTAGCTACTCAAGAGCTAAGTAACTTATTTCAAACCTCACAGGGTGATAAGGACTTAAACAGTCCAAGAATGTTATCAGCTGAAGCTGAGAAGGAATTGGCTCTGCTACAAAGGAAATTGCAAGATGCATATATAGACTGTATTGGTCCAGAGATGGCCTGTATTTTGGTTATCATGCCTTCTGCTCGTTCTCCCACAGGAATTCTTATGCAGAGAGAGAGGATTATGTCTTAGAATGGATATTTTTGGCACACAAACAAAATAAAAAAATTAAAAACCTATATAGAAAAGGTTTCTGAATTGATCCTAAGAGGAAAAATGAGACTTCGTCAATTAGCTGGAATAGATCCAGCTGAAATTGTGGTGCCCTTTACCAATCTGAGATTGCATCATTATGGGCAGACAACGAATACTGGCAAAGAGCTTGCTGTGAAATTTTGGGAGAAATCAACAACAGATACCCAAAAAGCAAGCGACTTCAGTTTATAAAAAGAACCAATTGGATTCTCCCTCGTATAGTAAAAAGGAACTCCAATTTCTGGAGCTCCCACATTTTATATGGATGCCCATAAATCAAAAAGGGCAGATTATAAGTCAGAAAATGTGAGTAAAGTAGTGGATAGTCCTTATGATTCAGTTCCAAAATCAGAAGTATATGCAATTCCCTTGGTGTTATCAGATTTTCAAGAATCTCTTAATATAGTCACTGACTCTCAATATACAGAAAGAGTTGTTCTGCATATAGAAACTGCTGATCTAATGCAGGATAATTCATACTTAACTTCACTGTTTCTTCAGTTACAACCACTAATCAGAAATAGAACTAATCCATTGTATATAACACACATCAGATCTCATACGGATCTACCAGGCCCACTAGCACAAGGCCATGACAAAGCAATGACGAAATTGATCAACTAATGATGGGAAGAGTGTGAGAGGCCTCAGAATTTCATAAAAAACCACCATGTTAACAGCAAGGTTTAAAAAGAGAGGTTTTCTACCTCTTGGCAACAAGCCAAAGAAATTGTGAGAAAAGGCCCCACTTGTTCTTTATATAACCAAACTCCACTACCTGCAGGAAGTAACCCAAAGATAGCCAAAAAAAAAATGAAATTTGGCAAATGGACGTGCTTTATTTTACAGAGTTTGGTAAACTGAAATATGTGCACCATACTATAGACACATATTCAGGGTTTCAGTGGGCAACAGCCTTAAGTTCCGAAAAGGCTGATTCAGTTATTACGCATTTGTTAGAAGTGATGGCAGTTATGGGTATTCCTAAACAGATTAAGACTGATAATGCTACAGCGTATGTCTCTAATAAAATGGAACTATTTTTTTTTTTTACATATTATAAGATAAAACATGTCACAGGTACACTGCACAATCCTACCGATCAAGCAGTCATTGAAAGATCCAATCGTACTTTAAGGGACATGCTTAACAAACAGAGAGGGGTATCAAAGACCCCAGAGAGAGGTTACATAATGCTTTATTCACCTTCAATTTCTTAAAGGTTAACGAACAACAAACAACAGCTGCGGGGAGACACTGGGTTATAGAAAAAAAATGCCGAATTATTTCAGCCTATATATTTCAAAGACACCCTAACTTTATAATGGAGAGCAGGGAATGTGTCATGCTGGGGAAGAGGTTTTGTGTATGTTCATTCAGAAGAAGAGAAATTATGGGTCCCATCAAAACTAATAAAAACCAGAAATGACAGAGGAAGACCACCTGGAGACCTTGGCCACACACAAGAAGAGAGAATTCAAGAAGACGAAACAGAACAGGTAACATAAAGTGCTGATCCCTTCATATGGGAACAACTCTGAAACTGACTGAGACATTAAAAAAAAATGTCTCCAGCCAGAACTTCAACAATACATGGCCAATAAATCCTTGGCTACAATATCCTCAAAATTTATTATGCTACTCTTTTAAATGGCATCGATAAAATTGGTTCACAGTTTAGTTTCATCCTGCACATCTCAGACATTTATAATTTTAGGACTGTATAATGCTTGTGAAGAATTGTATGTTTGCAGAACAAAAGGGCTGGACACCAGATATGCTGGATCAAACCTGACAGAATTCATCCTTTCAGCATGCTGCGACATTGACACATCTGTTCCAGCGTCTTGCATGTTCCAGCGTTCTGCTTGCTCCTGCCTCAACTGCTTCAGTTGCTGTTTCTCATCAAAGCCTGCTCCCAAGACAGCTTTGAAGAAAGCTACTAATCTCAATTGGCCCAGAATTTTAACTGTTCCAAACAGGACTTCTGTTAAGCTTGAAATTTCTCAACATTCAAAGACTGGAGCACAAATGTTAATGCTTGCTTAATTAACCATTTCCCCCAATTTCCTTTGGGCCCCCTAACAGGATTTCTGCGTGTTCAAAAAGCCAGCTAGAAAAAATTCATGAGAACAACGTCCAATTTCCTTTAAGGGAGTTGGGTAGATTTTTGATTGTTTTCTGTGGCTATGAATGTTTATTGTCTCTGGGAGATGTTTATAATTTATTAGTGGTCATGTTCACAGAGAAAACAAGGTTAGACTTAGGGATTTCCCTCTTTTTCTTTTTCCTTTCTCTATCTTTCTTTCTTAGATAAGGACAAAAGGGGTTGAAAAGAAAAGAAGGATATCTTATAGGAATAAGACTAAAGGTAGATTATTGAATTTACTCAACTTAAGGTTTTGTTATTCCCAAATAAGGTTATTTTTAACTCTGGTTTAGGATTTTGTATATTGATGCAAAAAATATCTATTTTTAATACACTGGTAAATTTTAGTATATTGATACAAATTCAAGGTTACTTCCAATACTTTTAAACTACTATTACAAACTGTTTAGGGTATTAGGTAATGCAAGTTAATTGTTAATCAACTCATAGTCATGTCAGACACTAGTACAATTTATCACAGGATTATACATCCTAGGTTTAACAGCTAGATATGATTCTATAGACAGGTCAATTATATAAAGATAGGTAAGTCTTCAAAAACCTCGGAGACCTACAGAATATGGCATTTAAAAGATGTCTGTCTGCATTATTTTAAGGATTCTTTGACAATGAGACACGTCATCTCCTGGCAGAACCCATCCTTCCTCAAAGAAGATGATGAACACTAAAGAACCTCCATGTAGAGATGGCTTCAAATGTGGCAAATGAGCCACTCGGGCAAAAAGAAAATGCCCTTGTTTCATGACAGACAGAATTCTGCCCAAAATGGGCAGAACTTAAATGCAGGACAAGTCAACTGCCCAACTCTGCCAAGACAGGGTAAGCAAGTCTTAAATAGTTCCTCCTTTACATATATATCTGTCAACTATACAGAAGGCTGAAGATAATGCTCCAGCATTATAGAGTTCTGGGTGATTGGTCAGGCAACAAACCATCTCTGTCAATTTTTTACTTTTTGGAAGCTGCTAACATGCACTTCCTATTTACTCCAGTAACTAATTTTATTCCTTCTCAAGTCTCTGGTGGGATTGAAGACCAAATAGTTATAGTTCCATAATTAAGCTTAAGTTGTTTTGAATTAAAAAAAAATGCTTTCATATAGGTAATAGCAATAAGGATACGAGTTAATTTAGGTATAGAATAAACTTGTTAAGATAGGCTAATCAGATACTTTCTCCTAAGCTGCCAAATACACATGGACTGGTCTTTGCACATGTAAATCTTACCTACTAGTTTTCATAACTGTTTTATAATTATTATTGTATGGAAAGAAAAGGAACCTTTTATTGGACTTAAAGGGGGAAATGGTATAATGTTCTTGTGGAATGTATACAATTTACCCATGTTCATTCAAATGCTGATTTCTCTACCCCACTATATGGTTTCAATCCAGACATTACATTGTGTGAGGTTTATTCTATGCATCACCTGTCTCAAGTTTTTGTAAACATGCCACCATTTGTTCTCTGTATTTTCAATAAAACAACCAGCCAATACTGAGCAATGGAGAAAATAGTGTGGGACATCCTGGTCTGGAGGGGTGGAGAAGGAAGTGAGTGGGGGGAGTTTGAGAGGAGAGTTCAGCAGGAGAGGACTTGGAACCATGAGGAGAGATGAACCGGACCTAAGAAATGACTAAAAGTAAGTATAATGGGGGAAATCTGAATGGTAGGAAACTATGCGGGCTTGGAGGTTTAAGACGAAATAACTATTGCCCAGCCTTCTGCTCTAGGTTAATTAAATAAATCCAAGTCTCTGTGTGGTGATTTGGGTATACAGCTGATTTACGAATAACCACTGTTTAACTAAAAGATAATTCAATAGTAAATATTAATAACCCACAACAAGAAAGTTTGAGGACAGCCACGATGACATATCAAGACCCCAATTTGCCATTTTGGAAAGCCAAAAATAAGCCAGAGAAATGGCTCAGTGGCTAAGAGCACTTTCTGCTCTAATTCAGTTCAGTTCCAGCTCTGGGTTCAGTTCCCAGAACCTACAGAGTGGCTCATAACCATCTCTGACTCCAGTTCCAGGGGATCTGATGCCATCTTCTGGCCTCCTTAGGCACGAGGCAAGAATGAAGTGTACTTAAATAATGCAGGCAAACATACACATACACAAAAATAAATAAATAAATAAACCCCAAAGCAACACAACAAAAACTAGATTTAATTAATTATTGTTTTGTTTTTCAAGACAGGGTTTCTTTGTGTAGCCCTGGCTGTCCTGGAACTAGCTCTATGGACCAGTCTGACCTTGAATTTACAGAGATCCACCTGCCTCTGCCTCTGCCTCCAGAGTGCTGGGATTAAAGGTGTGTATCACCAACACCTGGCCAAAAACTAGGTTTTATCCAGATGTAGTATCATCATACAACAAGGAGCATCAGTAAACCAGTTCCTTCTTGTGCGTCTCTCATTTTAGTGTTTTTTAGTTGGAGATACTCTTGCTATTGAATACCTCAGGCTGGCCTTGAACCTTGAATCCTACTCAGTACTGGGCTTATACATTCAGTTTGGAGTGACTTTTACCCTAAATTCAAATTAACTTATAGTTAGTCCTCTATGGGCAAGAAAAGAAGGCTCAACAGTAAAAGGCATTGCTGCCAAGCTTGACAACATGAGTTTTGATCCCCTGAATGTTCCTACCTTAGGAAAGAGAGAACTAATTCTCATTGACCTACACACACACATACACACACACACACACACATACACACACACATGCCCAACACACAGCCCCAGTTTTCCCCATACAAACAAAACACAATGACAAACAAACAGCCTTTTTTATCCATCCTGTAAGGTCCCAGACAGAATGGTTCCCAAGCCCCTACAAGCCTCTGTCCCCTACTGCCAGTATCTCCCGTCCCGTCCCTGGGACCTCAGATCTGCCCTTCGCCCTTGCAGGCCTACTTCTAGATCAGTGGTTCTCAGTCTGTGGGTCCCAATTCCTTTGAGGGGTGTTGAATGAGCCTTTCACAGGGGTCACCTAAGAGCATCAGAAAGACACATATATCGACACTATGCTTCCTAACAGTAGCAAAATCACAGTTACGAAGTAGCCACGAAAATGATTTTACGGTTGGGGTCACCACGGCATGAGGAACTGTATTGAAGGGTCTCAGCGTTAGGAAGGTTGAAAACGGCTGCTCTAGGTAGAATCCTGGGGCCAAAAGCACCTGCTGTTCTTTCACAGGACCAACCCCAAAGAGCCCTGACAGCTTCCTCTGCTGCAGCCGACACACAAGCAACACACACAGAGGCAGGCGTGTGCGCACAAATAAAAACAAAAGTCGTTAGAAGGAGAAAGAAATGGAGCCAGGCATGGTGGCACACACCTTTAATCCCAGCACTGGGGGAGGCAGAGGCAGGCAGATCTTCGTGAGTTCGAGGCCAGCCCGTTCGGCAACCTGTCGGAGTGTGGCTTCCCTCCAGCCTAGCCTTCAACACCCTGCAAGCTCTTCAGCGATCTTTGGAAGTGCAGCCCTGCCTCTGTGTCTCTTTGGGCCCAGATACAACCCGTAGGGTCTGGCTTCTGCCCACCACTCCTGCCAATCTGGACAAACAGGATTGATGGCTTTCAAACCCGTTTGCAAAACAGCCACCGGAGGGCTTGTCCGATGCCTCACATTCCTGGGGCTTTGCCTCGGAGATGGAGACTGTGGTGGCTGGGGAGGGGCCCAAAGGTGTTTTGTTTTTTTTTTTTTCCCCATATCAGCCTAAGAGACTTGGAGGCCGCGTTCCCGCCTTTTAGGAGCTGCGGTGGCTTTTCTCCACCCCTAACAGACTTGCACAACCTGCCCAGGCTCACCTGGATGGCCTCTTTTCCTGTCCACCCCCACTCTCTTTAGCTCCGCGTTCTGCCTTCCCTCCAAGCAGCCGCTTCCGGGCTGGTCCCTCCACCACGGATGGTTAACCCCTCCGGTTCCCCGGCACAGGCAGTTCCTCCTTCCTCGGCTTTGTTTTCACTTCCACAGAGAGACCTTCCCTGCCTCTCCCGTGACTCACTCACCTGGCAAACTTGTCACCTGTCATTTCTTATTTGCGTGACTCTTAAAGGTCAGTCTCCCCGACGGGGTTGCAGCAGGCTAAGGGCGGGTCTGTTTTTGTCGCTTTGCTGTGTGTACCTAGCAGCCAGGCACTGATCTGCTACGTGCTTCCACGGTAAACCCTGGGCTTTGTTTAAATGGCTTCCCGGCCCAAGGAACCTTGCCCCATTCATGCTACTTTTTTTTTTCCTTCCTTCCTTCCTTCCTTCCTTCCTTCCTTCCTTCCTTCCTTCCTTCCTTCCTTCCTTCCTTCCTTCCTTCCTTGTTTTTGAGATGAAGTTTCTCCATACAGTCCACACTGTTGTAGACCAGGCTGGCCTCGAACTCACAGATACCCACCACCCTCTGCCTCTAGAGCGCTGGAATCAAAGGCGTGCGCCCCCACAGCCGGCTTTTCACGCTAGGCTTTTTCAAGCGAAAGGTTGAGGCTGTGCTTTTTCCTCAGGGCAGACCCTTTATCAGCCCGTAGCTTGTTTGCCTTCTTAACTGTCTCCCGTAGGAAGCTGGGAGGTGGCTTTGATCCCCGTCTCTCAGCCCCTCTTCCCGAGCCTCCGATGTTTACTGAAGGCTTAACCAGAAAGCGGTAACCTGGCCGAAACGGTCGCCAGACCGTCGAGGCCCATCCCACTAGGCCACCTTGTCACTCTTAGATTTGATACTGCGAAGACCCTGGACCTGGCTCGGATGGGAGGGTGTACCTTGGGTAACTCAGCAGGGACGCGGCAACAGCCTGGGTGGCTAGACTGTGGCTGGGGGGGCGGGGTCAAAAGCCAGGGCACGTCTTCAGGCTTCCCTCTTCAGCCCGGTGCCCTTTGCCCGAGCGGGTGATCCGGGCTGAAGACGGCCCCCTAGCTTGACCAATGAACTGACCATCATTGGGGGGAGGGACGGGCGGGGATGGGCGGGACCATCCGTATCTAACAAACAGCCTCCAGACGCCCCTTTCCAGGTAGTCAGGATTCTAGATTTTTCTCCTTGGCTCTTCCCTGCTTCTGCCCAAGCACCTGCTCTCTCCCCTGGCACCTGCTGCCCGGTAGGAAGGGCGAGAACCATCCCAGGCGGTTCATTCTGAGGAGTCTCCGCCCCTCCTCCTGCGCTTCCTTCTCCAGGGCGCCTCTCAGGCCCCGCCCTCACCTGCCCAAGATAATTTTAGTTTCCCTGGGCCTGGAATCTGGATTCGCAGGGCTCTTCTCCATAGTCTCCCGCCTCGACATCCAACCTGTGGAGAAGAGAGGATTTGAAATCAAACCCAGGTGTCTGGGATCCCTAGAAAGAACCAGACTCTGGGCCCCGGTGTCCTGCCCCTTCTGCTGGCGAATCCAGGTAAGCCGACGGTCTGTTCCTACTCCCCGCCCCGGCCTCACCAGGGCCTCAGGTTGTGCCCGCCTCGGGCGGATCTGGCCCACTGCCCAGGTAGATGGCCCGGAGGCTGCCCCCCCCCCCCCCGTCCTCGCTCGGTGATGTCAGGCCCGAGGCGGGGAAAGGGGGTGGTCGGTAGTTAAGGCCTGGAGTCTTTCTCCCTAAGCCGGTGGCCTCAGGCAGGTGTGCGGAAGTCTAAGGTCTGGGTAAGGACCTAAGCGGGACCTTCCTCTTGGGGTGGGATGGGATGCAAGTTGGGTCTTGGTCCCTAAGGAGAAAAATCCATCCTCCTGCCGCCCTCTGGCGTCTCCGCTGCACTTGTTTTGTTTCGTTTGTTGGCATCTGGAGTCCTTCCTCTTCCTCACCTTGCTCCCTCCAGTGTTTTTCATTTTATGCCCCTCCCACTCCCTCCTTTCCTCTGAGCGAATCCGTGAAAGGGAGGTAAGGTCTCTAGGTCACACTCCTGAAATCTGGACTTCACGGCTAAAACTAATCCTTCCTGCCCAAGGCCAGTTAGTGGGGGTGGGGGTCGGGGGGCGGTGTGCGTGCCAGATCTGGAGGTTCCCCTTCACTTCCTTGCAGGGCTCAGTTTACTACCATCTGGGGTTCCCTTTTGGAGGGGAGTAAAGAGGAACGGCTTGCACAGTGGTTGGGACTCCGTCTCTCCACGTGGTGGTCCCATCTCGGATGTAGGAGCCCAGCGGGCCGAGGGGATGCTGCGTGCCCTGAGGAGGGTCCGCAGGCAGGAGAGGGGCTGGAAGGGAGTCCGTGGCGGGCGTGTGGGCCTGGACGCTGAAGCTAGGCAAAGACCTACGTCCAGGTCTGGGTCTACACGGCAGGAGGGAAACAGTGAACCCGAGGGCCACTTCCTAACAACGCGCGGGCTCGTGTGTGCGTGTGTTGTGTGTGTGTGTGTTGTACCCAGAAGGCAAAATAAAGATTAACTTTACCGGGAACTCTAGCATTCTTCCCAAATTAAACATTAAAAGAGTTGTCCCGCCCCCCTATAGTCCATTGGGTGTTTATTTCCTGTGGAGTGGGCGGAGCATCAACTTCGGGTCAGCTAAGGGTTTTCCCACCTCCTCACCTGGTGGCACCCTGAAAGGCTAAGCCCCCCCCCTTCCCACTCCAAGTCCTGATGGGGGGGGTTGGCTTGGTGTCCAGGGCCGGAACCGGATCTCTGGCTGCCCAGGCCACCAGCTTAATTGTCTGCCCCACCAACCCCTCCCCGAACCTGGGAAGAGTGGACGGTGGCCTTGTTTGCTGTTGGCCCCAAACATTAAGCTGTGCCACTCGCCCTTGGGGCTTTCTAGGTGGGGCAAGATCCAGGAAGTAAACAAGGAGGTAGGGAGGGTAGGAGCGAGGGTGGGGCAGGAGCAGCTGGGGCTGGAGAGCCGGAGTTTGGAGTGGCCGGCTGAGAGAGTTGGTGGGGGGGACCAGTTTCTCCAACGCGAAGCAGTGCTTGGTTAGGCTCTAGTTTAAATGTTTCAGGTCTGTAGGGCAGGGGCTACCAGGCCAACAACAGGCTCCTCGGCCCCATCCCAACTTTTGGTTACCCAATATTCTCTCTAGTCCTGTCCATGGGAGGGGAGGGTGAAGATTCTGGAAGCTCACCCTCATTTAGTCTGTACCTGGGCCTTTTGACATCAGGCTGTAATTGGACTTGAATCTACAGCCTCCCCTTTTAGACACCTGTCCAGCTGGGTGGTTTTTTTTTTTTTTTTTTTTTTTTCTCGCTCTGAGGGACGGGCACCCTTGTCCACCCCTGTCCTCTCCCGGTGTGTTAACTCCACTCCTGCCTGGTGGCACCCCTCAGGTCAGGACACCCCAGAGTGTGTGCTCAGAGACCCTTTCCCACAGAACAATACACAGAAGTCCCCAGGGCCAGAGGCATCATCATCAGAAGCCCTGGGGGAGAGTTAACAGCAAACAGAGTTGGAGGTTCCAGACCCAGCGTGGGCAGGGCTGGACGCACAGCAGAAGGAGGTGGGCTCCGGTCCTAGTAGGATCCAGGCCGGGCCTTTCCTCTCTCCTTCCTGGGCTATGGGCTGGGTGATGGTTGGGGACTAGAGGTGGGCAGGTGATTATTCCCACCTGGGCTGGACACTGGCCAAGGATGGGGAGGGTGATGTCAGAGGAGGCGAGGGCTGCCTGTCCCCACATCTTTGTCCTTCCCCAGCCCACACCCCTTGCTCCTAGGATACCTGTAGGTTGGGGAGACCGAGATGGAGGGCAGAAGTAGGTTGTTTGTGTTCCTTCTCGGCCAGGAAGTCCTGTGGATGAGTCAAGGGTGAATGGAGAGCCTGGGGCCTGGCTGTCCCGCCCCGCCCTGACTCATCTGTCCCCCAGATCCCTTCATGCCCTCTCGGAAGGGTCAAGTGTTTGCCCCATCCTGGTGGAGGGAAGCTTCTCAGATGTCCTGGGCAGCCTCACAGCCCTGGGACAGTGTCTAGTAAACAGGCGGGGTGCTGGGATTGGCATTCTGTCTGGGTCCTGCCAGGTTCAGGACCAAGGAGTTTGCTGGTTTCCGAAGAGAAGGGGCTGGGACTCCTCTACCCCGCCCCCTGCCCCAAGATCGCTTTGCCTAGTCTCTCCTGCCCTTACTTGTTTTAGCTTCCCTGCACCCTGCACCCGTGGGTGCTAAGGCATAGGTGAGACTTGTGGTGTGTCTGGTGCCAAGGGCTTTCAGATCAGAGAAGGGATAAAACAGGTGCACAGTAACGGGGGCAGAGTTCCCAGCGCAAGGCTGAGTGTGGCTAGTCCAATGGGATTTGTCACACCTAGGACCGAGGCTTTAGCATTGAGGCTTCGGGACAGAGTGGAGCAGGATGAGGGGCCTGAGAGGGCACACAGAGTTTGGAGGCCGCTGGGGTAAGAGCCCCCAGGCTAGGCCTTCTCCCACCTCAGCTTGAGCATGCTCCCTCCCCCAGTCCTGTCCTTCCCCACCACCTCTCTGAGTGTTTGTTATCACAACAAAGCTTGGCAGCTGCCTCTGCCAGGGAGATGCCAGAACAACAAAGTTTGGGGGTGGGGAACCTGGGGCGGAGCCTTTGGAATGGGCAGCCTTTGCCCAGGCCCAGGGGCTGCAGCTAGGGGCATGTGGCACGGAGCCTCAGAGCACTGGCCTTGGAGTCCCAAGCATCAGACTGGCTGGCACTGGGTTTATACCTGCACGAATGCTTCCTTCGCAGGGTCTCAGTGTCCCTTCCTGTAAAATGGGCATGTCCTGTTCTCTCAGAGGGCTTAGGGGAAGCCACAGTTTGAAGGGACCCGGTGGCAGCGGCCCTTGACATCAGCAGGTCTGTATTTTCTTCATAGGTGCCATGGAACTGGATCTGAGCCCACCTCATCTCAGCAGCTCCCCAGAAGATGTGTGCCCAGCTCCTGGGACCCCTCCTGAGACCCCTCCACCCCCTGATAACCCTCCACCAGGGGATGTGAAGCGGTCCCAGCCTCTGCCCATTCCAAGCAGCAGGTAGGACGGGGCAATGGGACTGCATTGGTAGGGAGGTCTGGGGACAGGGAAGCCGGCCGGCGCTGGCTGACACACGGGGCCTTCTGGCCCTCACAGGAAACTTCGGGAAGAGGAGCTTCAGGCGACTTCTCTCCCCTCCATCCCCAACCCTTTCCCCGAGCTCTGCAGCCCACCTTCACAGAAACCCATTCTCGGGGGCTCCTCCAGTTCGAGACTCCCTCGGGACTCCGGCCGCCTCCATGTGAGTTGTTCTGGGAAAGGGAAGGGTGGGGACAGAACTGCCCCACACTTCTTTTTTTCTGTGTGTGTGTGTGTGTGTGGGGTATCTTGGTCCCTGAGGATAGGGTAGAATCACCGTGCTTTACCCCGAGTGACCAGCGGCTCCTGGGGTACAGGTGGTGAAGGTGTACAGCGAGGACGGGACGTGCCGATCCGTGGAGGTGGCAGCCGGTGCCACAGCCCGCCACGTGTGCGAAATGCTGGTGCAGCGAGCTCATGCCCTGAGCGACGAGAGCTGGGGCCTGGTGGAGTGCCACCCCTACTTAGCACTGGGTGAGTGGGGGTGCAGGGGCTGGGGGGCAATGTTATATACATCTTGGGCCAGATAGGTGGCTCATCCGGGAGGCCAAGCTAATCTCCGCCAATCCTTGCTTTTCACCCCTGATCTCAGAGCGGGGCTTAGAGGACCATGAGTTCGTGGTGGAGGTACAGGAGGCCTGGCCAGTCGGTGGAGACAGCCGCTTCGTCTTCCGTAAAAACTTCGCCAAGTATGAGCTGTTCAAGAGCCCCCCAGTGAGTGTGCGTGAGGAGAACCTGGGTGTGCACACGCACACACGCACGCACACACACACCCCCTCTGGGCCCGCCCCCCCCCCCCCAGCCTTGATTCCTGATCTGGATTCCTGACTCCTTTCTTCCCCAGCACAAGCTGTTTCCAGAAAAGATGGTCTCCAGCTGTCTGGATGCACAAACAGGCGTATCCCACGAAGACCTCATCCAGGTGAGGTCATCCAGTGCTCCTGTCCCTCCGTCTGTCAGTCCATGCTGCTGCAGCACCCCTCCCCCGCAGGCCTGGGAGATGCCCTGTTTCACCTTCTGCTCATATCTGTCCCCAGAACTTCCTGAATGCTGGCAGCTTCCCCGAGATCCAGGGCTTCCTGCAGCTGCGGGGATCGGGCCGGGGGTCAGGTCGGAAGCTTTGGAAACGATTCTTCTGCTTTCTGCGTCGGTCCGGCCTCTATTACTCCACCAAGGGCACCTCCAAGGTGAGGTGTTGGGGGGTCAGCTCAGCCCACCATGGGCCTTTCCTCAAGGGTACTCCTAGACCCTTGCTTCCCCTCTCAGACCAGGGGCTCCTCAGACGCTCCTCCCTCCCCTAGGGCTGGCTGTCTCCAGGCCGTGCCTGCACCCCTCCACCCCAACCCCTGTTTGTCACCTACCGCAGGAGTGGCAATAGACAAGACAGTGATTTGAATCAGCCTCTGCCTGTGTGTGCGAGTACACTTCTGTGTATGTGTGTATATCCGTGTTTGTGCCTCTGAGTGTGTGTGTGTGTGCCTGTGTGTCAGTGAAAGTCTGTGTGTCTGTGTGTATCTCTGTGTGTGCTTCTGTGTTTATGTTTGAGTGTGTCTGTCTGTGTGTGTGTCTATGTCTGTGTGTACCTGTGTATGCCTGTGTGTGTGTCTGTATGTCTGTGTGTGTGTGACTATGTCTGTGTGTGCCTGTGTGTCTGTATGTCTGTGTGTGTGTCTGTGTATATCTGTATGTGTCTGTGTGTATACCTCTGTATGTATGTTTGAGTGTGTCTGTGTGTGTGTATCTGTGTGTGTACCTGTGTATGCCTGTGTGTGTGTGTCTATGTCTGTGTGTGTGTGTGTGTGTCTGTGTGTGTGTACCTGTCTCTGTGTGTGTGTCTGTATGCATGAATGGCAGGGGTCTGCCTCAGGTGGACCTCCTCAGGAACTGTCCTATCTTGTGTCTTAAGGCAAGGCTCCCGCTGGGACCTGGGACTCAGATTAAGCCAGGCTGACTGGCGGGGGAGCCCCAAGAACCCTTCTGTCCCCACGCTGGGATTAGAAGTGTACTGCAATCCATCCAGCTCTGGAGGTGGGGGTTGAACTCAGGTCCTCACGCTTGCCCGGCGAGCACTTTACCAACTGAGCTGTCTCCTCAGCCCTCAGCCTCTACCTTTGTGTGACCCTGGGTCACCCTGCCTCTCCCTGGTCCTAAAATCTCCTTGCCTGCTGGGACACTAATACGGACATGGGCTCTGCCTGTACCAAGTCCTACTTTCTCATGCTGTGCAGGACCCGAGGCACCTACAGTACGTGGCAGATGTGAATGAGTCCAATGCGTATGTGGTGACCCAGGGCCGAAAGCTGTACGGGATGCCCACTGACTTCGGCTTCTGTGTCAAGGTGAGGGCTGCAGCCTGGCCGTGCTGGGGGAGGGCGAGAGCTGCCCAGGTTCCAGTGTCCCTCCTTAGGGCTTTTGAACGCCGTCTTGAGGACCCCAGCCTCTTCTCCCTAGACCCTGCCCTTTCGGAGAGCCCTTGGGTCCTTCCCTGCCCCGTAGCAACTGGGCACAGACTCAAATAAGGGACAGCCCACTTCCTCTCCCTCAGCCCAACAAGCTTCGAAACGGCCACAAGGGACTCCACATCTTCTGCAGTGATGATGAGCAGAGCCGAACCTGCTGGCTGGCCGCCTTCCGGCTCTTTAAAGTGAGGTCCCTGGAATGGCAGGGGGGCTGGGCATGCCTGAGGGAGGTGATCTCTCTAGTGAAGAGTTCACTGTAGCCCGGCTCTCGGGGAATACCCGTCAGGAAGGGCAGACTCAGCCCTGCTCTGGAAGAGTCCTGTCATGGCCCATCTCCTAGGTTCTCCTGACCTCAAACCTTTTTTTCCCCCCTTTTCCTCCAGTATGGGGTGCAGCTATATAAGAATTATCAGCAGGTCCAGTCTCGTTACCTGCGCCTGTCCTATTTGGGGTCTTCGCCCTTGGTGAGTGTACTCAGGGGTATTGGGAGAGCTGGCCTCGCAGGCTCAGGGCTGCTATTCTGACCCTTCCCCTCCCCATTCTGTTCTCTCTCCAGAGGAGCGTCTCAGATAACACCCTAGTGGCCATGGACTTCTCTGGCCATGCTGGGCGTGTCATTGAGAACCCCCGGGAGGCCCTGAATGCTGCCATGGAGGAAGCACAGGCCTGGAGGGTAAGGGCCTGCGTGCTCCATTGGGCTTCTGGGGAGCGGGAGGGAGGACGAGGGTTCGGGGAGGCAGGGGATGCCGATGGCCCCCTGACTCCCATGTCCCCCGCTGCAGAAGAAGACAAACCACCGTCTCAGCCTGCCTACCCCATGCTCCGGCTCAAGCCTCAGCACAGGTGGGTGATGGTCTAGAGTCCCTAGGGTGGGCTGTGTGGCCACTCTGAGCAATCTTGGCTGGGGTTGGGCAGGGGGGGGGATCCTTCCCTGAATGCATCTCTTTCCCTCTGACCCCAGCCATCCACCGCACCCAGCCCTGGTTCCATGGACGTATCTCCCGGGAGGAGAGCCAGCAGCTGATTGCACAGCAGGGCCTGGTGGATGGGTAAGGGGCTGGGCTGGGTGGACTAGCAGACCTGGGGACCAGTGAGATACTCAGGCAGGTGCAAGGAGGATCCCTGGTAATGCTGCTCCATCCGTCTCCCCAAAGTGTGTTCCTGGTCCGGGAGAGCCAGCGGAACCCCCAAGGCTTTGTCCTGTCCCTGTGCCACCTGCAGAAAGTCAAGCATTACCTCATCCTGCCAGTGAGTAACTCCCCGGCTCCCAATTTGGGTTCTTGTAGCCAGAGGACGTATGACTCGAAAGCCCCACTGTGTGCTCCTCCTTTCTCCCCGTCCAAGAAACGGGGGCCGATTGCCAGCCCCACGGGCTGCTCCTCCCCTGACCTGCCTTCTGGCCGCACCACAGAGCGAAGATGAAGGCTGCCTCTACTTCAGCATGGATGATGGCCAGACCCGGTTCACTGACCTTCTGCAGCTGGTGGAGTTCCACCAGCTGAACCGAGGCATCCTGCCCTGCTTGCTGCGCCACTGCTGTGCCCGAGTGGCCCTCTGAGGTTGCGGAAGCCCTTAGGGCCCACGGGTATGCCAGCCACCATCTGTTAGGTGGACTTGGTGCAGGTGGGAGGGACGATACGCAGCTGAAGAGCTCCCCCCCAGGCCACAAACATCCTCAACCCTGTCCATCCCTGACTGCTATCCTCAAGGGAGGCATGTGTGGCCCTCTCCTCTTTGTGGAGCTCTTGAGGGACTGTTCCAATGAGGGGCATTGTGAGAGAAGGAAGGGCAGCCCAGCTGGCCTCATGCCCCACTCACGCTCTGTTCAGACTGAGAGGCCAGTTTGATCTGCTCAATTTTATACTAGTGACAATAAAGATTATTTTTTTATACACCCATGAGTTTTGTCTGCCAAGAACTGACAAGAGAACCAACCGGCAGAGGTAAAGGCCTTGGTGAACTATGCCCTGAGTACAAAAATGGTGTTAGTTGCCTGAGAGCCAGGATGGATGAGTGGTTGAATGGGCAATGGGCAACAAAGGACTGTGCTTTTCTTTCATTCTTTTAAAAAGTACTTATTTTTAAAAATCATGTCTGTGACTACAGGAGTATGTGCGTGTGTGAGTGCAAGTGCTCAAGGAGGCCAGCAGGGGGCGCTGGATCCCCTGGTACTGTAGTTACAACCGTGGGCTGTCTGACCTGGATGTTGTAACCAGACTCAGGTCGTCTGCAGGAGCAGTTTAAACACTCAGCCATCTCTTTAGCCCCCAGGGACTGGGCTTTTCTGACAGAGCCCTGATCTAACAGAGCCTGGGAGCTACCGATAAAGCAGGTATGGTAGTGTAGGCCTGGAATCTCAGCACTTGGGGCAGCAGCCGTAGGAAGAACAGCTCAGGGCTAGCCTGGGCTATCGCGAGGCCCCGTCTCACCACCTCCCTTCTCCCCACACACAAAAACGAGATTAGTCAACGGCAAGTCTTGGACGAGCTGGTGGACGGTGAGTCCCGACAGATAGACACCATGGCAGAGAGAATGGTCTCACTTCCCACAAGCCTCTGTGTGTTCCAACGACCTCTTCCCCCCGCCCCCTCTTTCCAGGCCCCAGTTTCCCTTTCTGTCCTTATAGTCTCCCCCACTGGGAAAGCCTGAAAGGGAATGAGTAAGCAGCCCCTGAGTCCAGATTCTTGCAAAATGCGAAGTTGCTCACTGCAGCCCCAAGCAGGGCTCCATTTTTTTATTTTTATTTTTATTTTTATTTTTTTTTGCCTGAGAGTTTTAATGCTTTTGCCTAACTCGGTAGCAGCTTTTTAATAAGCGTGCCCAGCAACACCTGCAACTCCTGCGCAAGCTGTAGAGACACAGATTGCCGAATGTGCACTCCAAGAAGATTTTACTTTGCCCCTCCCCCCCAAAAAAAAATCAAACTCGACTGATTCCATGGATTTAAAACTAGTTCGCCAGAAATACCAGGGCCAAAGGGACACATGAATTGACACACAGTTACAGAAATCTGGACTGGGAAACTACAGAAGGGATAGCTCAGTTTCTATTTCGACAACAGAAATGACAAGAAGAGCAAAGATGGGGGAATCTATAGATTCTAAGAAATCTAGTCATGACAACCAAATGATTCAAATCCAAACTCACTGTGAAAATCTAGTCATGAGCAATTGGGAGACATTTTAACTTTAATGATATTAAGGAATATGCTTAAAATTTTAAGGTATTATGGCAATGGCGTGGTAGGTTTTTTTTTGTTTGTTCTTATTTGTTTGGTTTTTTGTTTGTTTTCCTGAGACAGGATTTCTCTGTGTAGCCCTGGTTGTCTTGGAACTCATTCTGTGGACCAGGCTGGCTTTGAACTAGAGATCCTCTTGCCTCTGCCTCCCAAGTACCGGGAATAAAGGCAGGAGCCACCACCATCCAGCGGCAGTTCTTGCTCCCACCCCCTTTGAAAAGACTTACTCCAGTTGGGTATGATGGTAATGTTTGTAGTCCTAGCACTGAAAAGTTCCAGACTCCTTGGTGAGACTGTCTTCAGTAAACATACAAACAACTGGGGGAGGGGGTGAGGGATGGAGGTGGGCGAGGGCCAAGCCGGAGAGAAAGACTCATTTGAAGGATTACAGACGAGATGACAAGAAGTCTTGATCTTCCCCAGACAGTCTATATGTGTTTTCCTGGCTGGCCTGGAACTCACAGAGATCCGTCTGCCTCTGTGGACACCCCCCTCCCCCGTCCTCCATCCCCCATCCCCAAACCCCAGGGATGGGATTAAAAAAACGTGTCACCATGCCCAGCTTGGCTTCATTTCTAAAAAGATCCAGATTTGTTGGTGTCCTCGCTACTCAGAAAGAAAAAAAAAATTACAACCTTTAAAAAACAGCTATCCTTCCTAAACTTTTGAGATGGATTAAAGCACTAGGTGAGCAAAAACCGTTCCTTGGCCAGGCACATCACTGTCCTTGTTCAAGTCCTAGCCCTGCCATGAACTGGGAGGGCAGGACAGTAGCAACGCTAGGACGTCCAACTGGTGGTTCTGGGGACCAGGGCTGGGCACATTCTACACCCTAGCCCCCCTCCCCCCAGCTGGCTTCCAGCTTCAGAACAGGCCTTTCTGAAAACTTCCCTCTGCAGCCTGCAGTCAGGTTGGCCTGAGGTGACCTCAAAGGTCCAGCCACTTCAAGGAGCACTTAGGCCAAGTTCAGCAAACTCTGGGCCAACTAGGACGAAGACAACCCACGCTTGGCTGATGCCAGGCTGAGGAGCTTGGAGCCAGGCCTGACAAAGAGCGACTTAAGAGCCCCTCCCACACTCCAGACCGCCACTGGCTGGGACCTCTCCCGCAGAGCCCCACTGTTGCCCAGGTACTGGAAGGGCTGCGGACCTCACTGCTTTTCTGAAGGGCCTGAGACAAAGGACCAGTGCTTTTCACCCGGAGCTAGCTAGCCCTTCCGGCCGCGCCTCAGGCTTGGGGCTGGGCGTGTACTGTCCACGCTGCTCAGTGTCACTCCTGACGTCCCAGGAAAGAGGCCAAGATAAGCCACCTTTTAAGTATGTCTGGGGAGGTTAGGCCGTCCCCAAAGGAAACCCAGCGTTTGCTCAGCATCTGAGGTGCCGGGTAGGGGAACATGCCCCTTTGATGTCAAACAGCCAATCAGAATCTCTGAGAGGACATGCCTTCCATTTCACTTGTAGGAAAACCGAGCCTCAGAGCGAGTGAGCCGCCTGGGGTCACAGAGAAAGTTAGAAATAGCCAGCCCAGGCTGCAGACGGTAGAAGCCATTCTTTCCTGTCCCGGGTGGAGAAACTGAAGGGCTAAGGTACCACCTGGTAGGAGGAGAGAGCCTACCTACTCCTGCAAGCTCTTCTCTGACCTCGTGGCACGTGACCTTCCCTCCAAATAAATAAATGGGCGTTGGGGGGTGGGAAGGGCTTTCAAAGTGGCTCAATGCAAGGGTGGCAGTGATGGAAATGGACTGGAGTCTGAGGGAAAGCTGGGCGGGGGGGGGGTGTGCGGCGGGCACGCCGCGCACAGGTGATTATGGAAGGCTTGTAGCCCTCTAGCCTGCCAGTGTCGAAGGCCTGAGCCACACCGTCGCACGCGGCAGAACCCCCTCCTTCCTTCTGAGTGCCTGCCCACTTCCGCCATCGGATTGCAGCATAGTCAGCCCTCGCCAACCCTGGTCCACTCGCCTCTCCACAAGTACAAACTCCACAAGCTTTGGGTTCCCTCCTCCCAAGCGGTGGAGGGATGAACTTGGTGGGTTCCCTCCCCACCTCCACCCCCCGATTCCCCTGGGACGAGGGGGAGGTGAAGGGACCAGGAGTGGGTTTCGTGGATAAGGAGAGGTTCCAGACTTGAGAAACCAAGTTGGGGCTGGAGAGCGCATGCAGGCGGCGTCCACCGCGCACAGGTGTGTGCAAAGTGATCCAAATACGCCCCTTCGGTTCCCGGAGCCCCCGTAGGGTCTGGCGCGACGCCCCAGGATCGAATCCTCCCCGGCGCGCGGCACCGTGCCAGCAGGTGCGCGCGGCGACCTGGGGTTGGCGCTCCGCGGGTCCCTGCGAGCTCCGGAGCTAGTCCAGCCACGCGGCGGCAGCGCCACCCAGCGGCCACTCCCGGAACGGCGGACGGCGCCTCCCGAGGTTCCCCAGTCGCCCCCGCGCCCTTCCCCCGCCCCTCCCGGGGTTTCAGCGCGGCGCTGGGGCGCGGGGAGCTCCTACCTCGCTGCAGCGCCCGGAAGGGCGGGGCGCGGCGCGGCGCAGCGGCGGCGCTGGGCTGTGACCCCGGCGGTTTCACTTCTGGATCCCGCTCGGCTGGGGCTGGGAGAGGAGGACCTAGGTGGGGGCGGCCAGGGCGGTACCTGCGGGCAGGAGGGGGGGGGGGGAGTCCGGTGCTCGGGACCCCTGGGGTGTCACGCGACCCACGCCTTCCTTTGCTTCCCCACCGCGCCTAGTCTCCACCCCGCTGTCCCCGGACCTGTTGGCGTGTCCGCAGCGGCCGCCGCCCTGTCGGGGCTGCAGACCCCCCAAGAGGCGCCGGGCGGCGTGGGCGGCAGGAGGGGAGAGCTGTGAAGCCGCAGGCTCGGGGTTAGGCTGCTGGCTGCTGGGACGCCGGGCTGTTTCTCAGAAATGCAGCTGCCCCCTTCCCTCACCTCCCGGGCTCCCACCTTGCGCCTCACCCCCTCAACGGCCCTGTCTTTCCATAGGTTCCCAGACCCGGGAATCTGAGTCCAACCTGAGCACGGGGGTCTGGCCCACCCCCGACCCCCACATCCAGAGCTTCCCACGGGTGGAGAGACAGGAGCCTGATAGCTTTCTGAGCCTTACTTCTTTGTCCCAGAATCTTACAAACCGTCGAGAAAGTGACCTTCTAGACGAATGTCAGGCCACTCACCTCCTGCGTCCCCCCACCCCCACCCCCCAGGAGCTCTAAGGAGAAGGACAGGGAATGAGAACAGGATTCCGCTATCCCTGGGTTTGCTGGAGCAACCGGGTTGAGGTGAAGCTTAGAGTCCCACGGCCCAAAGAAATCTGAAAGAATCCTTGACTCCAGTGGAAAATCAAGGTCCGGAAAGTGAAGCATTTGAGGTCACCCAGAGAGAGGCGAGGCTGAGACCAGACTATGAATATCAAGCTGCCCTGAGTTTTGCTGAACCCCACCTTCCCACCCCCAACACACACAGGACCCCTCAAGAAAGTCTGAGAATGTAATTCCAGTGGGGGTGGGATGGGGTCTGAGTTGCTGGCGGGACATACTTGGGGGAGCACCTGGCCCCTGGTTCCCATCCCATCAGCCTCCCCCAGGACTGTGGTTTATTTGACTAGGCTTGCTCTTTGGGGCCAGAGGGGTAGAGGGGCATATGTGTGTGTGTTGGGGGGGTTGATGGG